GTTCAGTTATCTAATTCAATTATGACATGATTGCAATTTCTTTGATTGTTATGAGCTGGCCAGAGTCGTTGAGAGCTGGGTAAGGGACAAGTTTAATCCTTCATCATCACCATCTCTCTCAAGTGGTTTCCCAGTTTGTTACTTTCTTAATGCGCTGGATAACAACTTCCAATCTAGTATATGAGATGGGCAGCAATATAAATCTGCTAAACAAGTAATAAATAAGAAAACAGCCAGACACCCTTGGTGAGGCAGGGGGAGTTGTCCTGTAGCCTATTTTTCAGGGCAGGAAGTGGGGGGGGGGGAAGAGGAAGATCTACTGACTGTGTGTGTGTGTGTGTGTGTGTGTGTGTGTGTGTGTGTTGCTCAGCTCCAGAACTTCCTTGGGACTAAGGGATATTCAGATCTCTGACTTTGTTACTATGTCTTTATTGTTACTATGTCTTTATTTTTTTGTTTTGGTACATGTGTAAACTGTTTTGTGATTTTTGTCCTTGCTTTGTTTATGTTTGTCTGTTGGAAAGCCAGTCGCAAGGCAACGAAGGAATCATTCTAAGATGAGGCAGGATAAGAAACATCCCCTTTGGCCACCAGTGCTGACCTGCCTTCTCCAGCTTGCTCCCGTGGGAGGGTTCTGGCTTGGGCCTCCTGAGCAGAGATGGACCCCAAATCTTGAGTCCTCCTGGCCTCCCTGCTTGATGGGGAGAAGCAGCAGCAGCAGCAGCTGGCAGAACTCCTAATTCAGTGGTTCTCAACCTTTTTAATGCCGTGACCACCCAACCGGTCGTAAGTCGAGGACTACTCAACCGGTCGTAAGTCAAGGACTACTCAACTGGTGCAGCACCGTTTGCAGAATGGGACTTTTGGCAGGCTCAGCAGGGCAGAGACAGCCTGGACAATTCCTATTGGCTTTTGAAAGCCAATAGAATTAGACTCTATTCAAGAGAGTCTATTTTATTGGCTTTCAGAAGCCAATAGAATAAAAGGGAGTAGCCCAGCTAAGGAAAAGGGGAAAAAAATGGCGGACTGCGTTGTTTGGCGACCCCCGTGAAATGGTCGTTCGACCCCAAATGGGGTCCCGACCCACAGGTTGAGAACCACTGTTCTAATTGCTGCGTCTCTGGCTCTGATTTTTCTGCTAGGCACCAGCTCCTTGGTCTTTTCCGCTCTCTGAAGAGCAACTTGTAAAGTTTCTTGATGGCCTCCAGAATGAACTATTCTGGGATTCTTGAGTTCCCAGGCCCTGCTCTGTGTCTCATCCTTAATTGGCAGCCTGGGAGACAGCGAACCAAGAGAGTTCCTTGTTACAGGCATTGGAAAAAAAAAGCCCTTTTGACCGTCACTTCATTAAAATGCCACTACATCATCTTTTGAAGCTGCCAGCAAGAACTCGACTGTTTTCTTGCCAGGTGCATTTAGTGTATGTGTGTGTGTGTGTGTGTGTGTGTGTGTATGAATTCTGCTGAGCCCAATTTGCGAAGCTCCTAGATTTTTACCATGCCAGCTTTTTTGGTTTGGTGCAGCCAGGTGGGGTTGAAGCTACAGTCACGTCTGCCCACCTAGAAACTTTCTGGCCTCTTCATTCGTTTCTCCCAAATTCTGGTCCCAGCCATGAAAGCCACTTCACTGATGTGGCTTCAGAAAGATGAAGGGGTTGCATTAAAGCAGCATTTGGAAATTGGGGTAGGAGGCAGAAACTTGCAGGCGTCAAGCCCATCTGGCTTTGGGGCAACAGCATCCGAGATACCTGGATGGCAGCAAGTGAAACCCCACCCCGATGCACTTTTCACTTGCTCCCAGGACCGCTGGTCACAAATGGTCACTTTTGTTTTGGGTGCATTTTACTTAGGTGATCTTCTACTCCTGTCTGCTTTCCTAGAACCTGTCCCCTCCCAACTTCAGATCTGGGAATGGAAGTATCTTCCATAGGAGTTTCGTCCCGCTCAATTATACCTTGAAGTGGTTGAGGACACTGGGATGATTGGTAAAAGTTTAGAAGAACAGTGATGTGTGTGTTGCAGCATTGCTGATGATCGCAAAACCTTGAAATCCATTATTCCTTCAACGAACAGGCATAAAAGTTAGATCTTCAACTCCCTCTTTAAAGCCGCAGCCAAGGGCTTCTCACCAATTCGTCTTGGTGTTCAGCCCAAGATCCAAACAGGACTTTTTGTCTCTTGAATGGCAGCCCAGTTCATCGAAACAGACCCTCGGCTTCACCCTTTGAAGGACACGGGCATCTGAGCCTGAGCATGGGGGATTCCTGGCATTCCAGGACCCCCTGATCGCTTTTGTGCAGCAGTGACATTTTGGTGGCAAACTGGAGTTAGCTTTGCTGGGGAACCTCAAACAAACCCTTCTTGGAGATTTAGATCTCCCTGTAATCGGCAATCAAATTTCAGATCCCTCCTACACCATCTTTGCATTTATGGTGGCACAGTGTTTCTTTGCCAAGGCTGAAAATATGAGTTCATCCTATTTCTCTTTTCTCTGTTTGTGCACAATGTTATCTTGTACAAGAAGCATAAATCAAAGCCTTCTCTGGAAGAAGACAAGTATATAAATCCTAATTCTTTCAAGGGGGGGGGAGGGAGAGAAGACAACAAGATGCCTCTTTGTTGGTGTCTGCATTTCTGTCCCTCTTCGGCTCAGCTGGTTCTGAAAAACGCTTTGAGTACCTGTCCTCCTGCCTTAATAAATGACTCACTCTAGCATCAAAGAAAGTGGTTTGACAGTCGGGTGCTTCTGCTCAGGGACATCCCATTAATCCTCTCCAAGCAGGGTGCCTGCCAATCAGGAGGAACAGTCTGAAGCTCAGCCTGAGAACAGGGCCTCCGTTGAAAGGGTCAGCAATTCAGCCCTTTGGCCACATCTAGACTCGTCCTGGGCCAGGGTTTACCACCCTTGACCTGACAAGGCAAGAGAAGGATGACCTCTGCTTCCTGGTCAACAGGTTGATCAGGCCCCCTCCTGGGAGACTGTTGGGGTCTCTTGGACAGTTGGTTGGCTACTAGGAGAAGGGACCAGTGCACTAGTGGTTCTCTGTGGTGCCACCACCAATTTGGCTGGCATCAAAAAAAGGTTGGACTAATTCATGAAACTCTTGGGAATCAATTGCTCTGGACAGTGGGAGGATGTCCCTCAAGACCATTTGCTGAGAGGCTGGTGGGCTTCCTTGGGCAGTTGGTTGACCTCTGCAAGAATGAAGTGGTGGACAAGATGGGCCAAGGCATGGCTTAGATTCTTATGTTCTTTATTTCCTTTCTGGAGCTGGTAATTATTATAAGAGATGTCTGAGTTGCAGAGAGCTGCTGTATCTTTGCGTGGATCATAATGATGAGACATTGGTATCTGTCTTACCTGAAATAATGGGATGCTTAATGCTTAGATTGTACAAGTCTAATTTTATTGACTTGAAATTCTCTCTGCATCCCTCCTTTGCTTAAAAACACTTTCTCCTGCCCCTGAACAATTGTGGATGCAGTCCTCATTCAGTGAAAAATCAAATCTTTCATCGTTGGAAGATGTTGGAAGTGACATAAAGGCTAATAATCTTCTTCAATATTTGTACAAGCTCTTGGAGATAAATAATTCAATTGACATTCTCCATTAAATCTGACTTCAGAAAGCTTTTATGCCAAGACACAGTAGATCATAATGGTTTCTATTCTTTAAGTTTTTCTCTCGCAGTTTCTTCCCCCTCTTTCCTTTCCTCCCTCCCTCCCTCCCTCCCTCCCTCCCTCCTTCCTTCCTTCTTTCCTTCCTTCCTTCCTTCCTTCCTTCCTTCCTTCCTTCCTTCCTTCCTTCCTTCCTTCCTTCCTTCCTTCCTCGGCTCTTCCTGCAAACCTTCAGAGAACCTAATGGTATCCAATAAGTATGGAAAATAGATTATTTGCTGTGGTCAAATAAACCCCTGTTTCCATTCTATTTATACCACTGGCCCAAACAAACATCAAATTATAGTGAGAGAACTTAAATTCTTTTTTGAGCTGTTGTGTTGTTTAAAAAAATCAAGCTATGTAATTGGTTTTAATCCTTGGGGAAAGGGTTGGGGTCAGAAGTGATTAGAGTGAGGCTTGTTTTCCTTGTCCTCCTTATGTCTCTCTCCATGTGGCTCGGACCCCTGAGGATACGCCTGCAAAGGAAGACCAACTCTCGGAGGTCATTTCCCACATTAATCAGGGAGAAAGGGCATGTCAGTGGAAAACAGAACGGACCTCTGGCAAGGCCTCTCCTTCCTGCCTCTCAGATGTCCTGAGGGAAGAGAGAGACAGACCGTTTGCTCATGCAAGAACCCAAATGGCTTCTCTGGATCAGCCTACCCAGCCTTCATGATAGCCCTTGAAGCTAGTTTTTTTTTTAAGATAGATAACTTTTATTGTCACACTGGCACACATTAAAAATGAAGTCTTGTTGTCAACAGACTGGGAAGGCCAGGAGAACAGAGCTGGATTTCATCCCTTGCTTGAACCTGGGACCACCTGGATGCTTTGAGAAGCTCACCTTCAGAGAGGCTTGTCCACCACTTTGCAAAACTCCGGGGGTGGGAGAAGCAACCTCGATTCGAGGCTGCAGTGCTGGATCCAACAACCAGCCTTGGGGGGAGGGTGGGTTAGGGGGTGGAGAAGAATCTGGATAGAATCCCACCGTTGGTGTTGACATACTGTCAGGGGCCATTCTGATTGGATAGGATGGGATGCCAGGCCAACCCACCCAAAGATGGCTTGCAATTTTCACCATTGGCCTTGCACGTGGGTGTCCCACCCAGAGGCCTCCCTTAAACCCCCCCCTCCCGCCCACCAGTATTTTAAATCAGCTCTGGAAGCAAGTTATTGGTGGTACCAGCAGGGGGCCCTTCCACATTTGTTTTTCCTCCGAGCTGGATGAAAAATTTGAATTTTTCTCTACTTGTCCCATAATGTAAATTTTGGAGCTGGAACTCAGCAGGGAGGCTTCCAGAATTCTTCGGTGGTCTATAAACAGCTAGTCAACCTCTGCTGATTGGAGCTCTTTAGGATTTAATTGACCCCTGCACGCCACAAACAAAATTGAAACTTTTAAATAATTTACTATTTATTTGGTTTTTTTTCCCTCTTTTCCTGCTGACTTTGGAAATTTCCTTCTTTAGTTTTCATTGTGCACTTTTAAAGTTCGGATTATTGCAACATTTCACCTGAATTCCATAGGAAAACAGAGGGGGGGGAAGGGGGAAAATACAACATCGCTTGAGTATATGTAAAATATTATTATTATAATTATTATTCATAATCGTCATAAAAAAGAGAGATTCTTTTACCCATAAGAAGAATTAATAACTTAATTGTTATTGCACTGGCTACAATTCAGTAGTGGTTTTGGTATTCCCCCCCCCCATTTTCTGGAGCAAGGAGGACCAGAAGAAAGTTGGCAAGGCATGAAGTGGGGGGCAGCGAAGGAGAATGAGGGGATGGAGCCAAACCGAAAGAGGACAGTGAATATGGTGAAGTGTCTGCATCGAATCCACGAGGACATCACTCCACTGAGGGTCAGATGTGAACGCACACATGAAATTAAATGAATCGATTCACCCTCCTATGGGAAGCCTAATCCAGCTGGAATTGGTAGGGTTAGGGTCCCTCCAACTTTGACCACTTTAAAACCTGGGGACTGTGCAATTCTGGGAGTTGAAGTCATAGGTCTTAAAATTGCCAAGCTGGGATGCCCTCGCTCCTAGGGACGGAAAAATGGACACGAAGAGCGAATTCACTGGTCTTCAGAATGGACTGTGGTTGTGGCACACGATGGAGTGACTTGGTTGAGTTAAGGGCGCTCAGCGCCTCTGACATCTCTGGGCTCCTCCTGATGGGCGGGTTTTCTGCAAAACTCTGCATTTGATGAAGGACTTCCTTGGGGGCTTTTATGGGCGTGTGTGTCAAGGTGTGTCTGCCTGTGGTGTGTGTTTCTTTCATTTCTTTTTTTAAAAAAATCTCAAATACATGGTTTTCTATTTATAGTAACTGCTGATATACAGAACAATATACAACTCGCTTCTGCCTGGTCACGTGCGCTTCCCGCGACCGCTTTTCGTGCAATAAGAAAAGGTGCCCTTTCGGAAAAAAAAGCCAGAAAAGAGGTTTTTCTGACCCAGCCACGGGTTGCCTTTAAAAAAGATAAAAGAAAGGTCTACAACCCCCATCGAGGGGTCCGAGGCCACACTGGGTGAGGGGGAGGGGGAGGAAGAGGGAGGAAGAGGAACACTGGAACAGCTTCTCCTTGTGCTGGGCGGGAAGGAAATCTGATTCCTTCCGGTTACCCCCGAAACTCTTGGGACGCTTTGAGTTTCTCTGGGACTTTGGTTCTGTTTCTAAAGCAACCGGACCTTCGCAGCGAGGAGAAACCACGGGTTTTGGGGGGGGGGTAAGCATCAACCATGGAGAGGGCGGCTTTCCAACCTGTTCTCCTCTCCGAAGCCACATGTGGTGGCAAAGCCCTTAAAGTTCACCAAAGACCACCCCCCTTGGAAGCTATACCGGCTCGTCCACAACCTCTTCTGTGGTGGTTGGGGTCCCTGGAACCTGTCCGTACTGTGGGAGGGGACACTTCCTCGCCCCCCCAAGTTCTTCTTGGTTTGTCTCAGAGGGGTTGCTGTGAGTCTCCAAAGGGTCTGTTGGCTGCAGCTCTGGACCCTCCGGGGTGGAATCCACAGAACGGTCTGAAGCTTGGCTACTCTCCAAGAGGCGTTTGCAGGGCTCACCCATGGAACCGGGGTCCATCGGTTCATAGGAGAAGCTTGGGATGGTTAAGTGCTCCCCTCGGCAGGCTGGGGGTGCCCAGCGGTCTGCCTTGCAGGCTGGTTCTCCAGGCTGACCCTCAGCCAGCTCCAAGGTGTCCCTGTAGGCTGTGGATTCGCAAGAGGGCGTTCTCCGCCTCAGCAGGCTGTTCTCAGAGGCCTTGGTGCGTGTTGTGGTGGTGCTGCTTTCTTCCTCCATGGGAGGGTCAATAGAAATGCAGGGGGGGCTCATTTTCTTCTTCCTCCGGAGGCCGTGCAGGTACTCGGACTCCAACTGGACCTGGAGAGGCAGCCTCCTCCTTTCAGAAGTGTCTGTGAAGCCATGAGCCCTGTGGTCGACCGAGGGGCAGATCTCAATGGAGTGCCGTCGCTGGTCATCGGCCCACAGCGGCTTGGCCAAGAACCCCCGGGTGTCCACGCTGTAGAACTTCTTCAGGTCCTTCTCCTTGCCCTTCCCCATCGTCAAGCTGGTTGTGCTGCAGTTCCTGAAGGGGACAGGGGATGGCGCCGGAGAGGCAAAAGGGGAGTCAGAGCAGTCCTGGCTCTCCAGCTGTGCCCTCCAATCCCGTGCAGAGCTGTTGATGTGGCGGACCTCTTCGTCTGCCAGATCGGAGGACTCAAAGAGGGAGGTGTCTAGGAGGCTACCGTGGGTGGACCTCCTATTTGAGATGTTGTGCTGGCTGAAGGTGTCCTTGTGGGTGTGGATGCTTGAAGGGTGAGAAGGGGAGGGGTGGGGAAGGGGAGGACTGCCTGGGAGGGATGTGGGGGCCGGGGGAGGCTGAGGGGCCCCCAAAATACTGTGGGACAACTTTTTCAGGGGTGGGTTTTCACGCATCTCAGCCTGGACACACTGCTTTGACTCCACAGCTGAGCTATCCAACGAGTCTTTCCGGACGGCCTCCTGCAAAACGAAGAGATAAGAAAATAAGTATTTCCCACGCAAGGAGGCCACACGCATCGAAGAACGGTTCCATGTTTTGCGACAGTTGGGGTTCATGGTCCTGTCTTCTCTGGGGCTTCTCCCTGAAGTGTGAGTTAACATGGAAATCTAGGGGAGAGCAGATCGGTCAAAGGTGAGCTGGGCCTTCCCCCGGGAAAGGCCACTTTCCTGGAAACGGCTTCTCTGAACCCACCTGCAGATGTCTGCAAAGCAGTTGGCCCAAGCACTCTGCCTTGTTGAACATGCAAAGCTCCATCTTCATAGGATGAGAGCATCATGGTGGCATTGCCTCTTGTGATGTGGAAGAGCCAGAGGCCGAGGGGCCCGATCTAGCATTGGCTGCCTCAGGAGTCAGTAGTCTACCAGTTGAGGGTCTGCTGACTCAGCAGGAGCAATATGGGAACAAATGACAAGGGGCTGGTTCCAGACAGAGAACATAGGCTGGGGACATATCAGAAGCATCTGCATCTCATTTAATCTCTGTCCTGACCTCTGGGCTTCCTCCTGTACTGTCTCTGCTCTACAGCCCTTGACTCCTTTTGGTCTCAATCAGAATAGAGCTCAAAGGGACCTTGGAGGTCTTCTAGTCCAACCCCCTGCTCAAGCAGGAGACCCTAGATCACTCCAGATGAGCAGCTATCCACTGTCTTCTGGAAAACCTCCAGTGATGGAGCACCCATGACTTCTGAAGGCAAGCTGTTTTCTCTGCCCTTCCTGGCCCTGAAGACATTTCCTGTCCCTGTCCATCAGCTATCAAGCCTCTTTCTGCCTCCTCCCTGCCCTCCCACCCCGCTAAAGTCCACCTGAGACCAGGAAGCTGACCTGTCTACACAGCAGTCTGTTGAAACTGGGGGTGCGAGGGGCAGGGTGAGGGGGTAGAAGCTTCCATGGAGCTCCCATGTTGTGGCTAGGAGGGGGTGTTGTGGGGCGGAAGGCCAACTGTGGGATCCTCAGAGATGAAGAAGTGACCAGTGGCTGAGAACGGATGGACGTGATGGACCCTGGAAGAACAAAGAAGGAGATTATTCCTCAGAATTTCTTCTCTTTCTTTCATTCAAAGCTGAACAAATGTCTGATGGAAGCGTCTGTTTCCTCTGGTGACCTTTTGGCTCTTCCAGACTGGGGGAGGACCTCATTCCAGAGAGAATGTTTGCATTTTGGTGGAAAATATAAAGCAGTTCTTTGCGTCTCCATAACGCGTCTGCACTTTTATCCTCAAAAGTGAGCCATGCTACAGCACTGGACTTCTTACCTTGGAAGTTGTTTAGACACAACAACAACTGTTGGCAGAGCTCAGCAGGCCCAGATCCTGATGCCTTACCTCGAGGTGACTTGTAGGAGAAGGCTTCTAGCTCCCCTTCATGGAGCGGGAAAGGAAGCTTGGCGGGCATCACAGGACGGAACATGTAACTGTCGTTGGGCAGCGAATGCATCCTTGCCACTGAGATCTTGCGAAGAGTCAGAAGGTTCTGGGGCTCCCGAATGCCGACGGCAGCAGCAGAAGCTCCCTGCAAGTCAGCAGGAAAGAAGGCTGAGAATTTGGGAGGAAATTGGGAGCTGGTCATTCTTGGCAACTTTGAGATATTTGAGCAAACTGCCTTTCTGGATGAGAATGAATGGAAGACAGCTTCTTTTGCTTGACTTGTTTAAAACCCAGAAGGCTTCTGGGGGAGGGGATGGGGGGGAGCACATAGATATGACCCCAGATAAGCTAAACTCCCTTCCTTGCCATGCCTGGGGTGGGAAGCTTCTTCAGTCTCCTCTAGCTTTTTACCATGGCTTTATGCTTCACCAGCACGGGTGAACCCCCCTTGGAAGAGGTCTGTCTCCCATCCATGGTCCTTTCTGGCGTGCCGACCCCTCTGGACATCTCCAGCTCAATTTCGGCATCCATCTCAGCATCTTCCTTCGCCTCCTTGTTGCTTTCCTCTAAGTGCTTCATCAGGACGGCCACCACCACGTTGACCAGGACGAACTGGGCGATGAGGACGAAGGTGACGAAGTAAATAGGGGAGATGAGAGGCAGATAGCTGAGGCAGTGCTTGTCATCCTTGTGACATTCCCGGAGAGTGTCCTGGAAGAGGGACGTGAAAGCAAAGTTAGTTCAGTTGGATGGGTCAATTGGGAAGAAATCTTAATGTCCTCCTAAGTTTTCTCCCAAAGATTCAGCATTTAGAGATGAGCAAACATGGAGTTTCACTGGGCAATAATAGAACTAAAGGTCCATACATCCTGTGATGGCCAACTAGCAGTCTTTGGGAACTAATATGGGTAAAATGGATGCAGAAGCTTTCCCCAAACTCATAGCAACCTTAATGGCATCTCTATGCACTTCTGGCTATTATGGTGAATGGCCAATGAATGACTTCTTCTCCTCTATGGATTTTCTAATTCCCAACTGGTGGTCCTCACTAAATAGAGACTTCCACAGATTAATTCTACCTTGTGTAAAGCCTTACTTTTCCTCAGAATTGACTTGCCCATCAATCTCACCAGGTCACCACCAAAAAATGTTGATGAGAGGCAGAGGACAATTTTTCCTTCTTTCAATGAAGCATATTTTTATGCATCTATTTGGGATCATATTCTGTGTTTTGGTTTTGATTGGCTTTTATTCTAGGCGAATAATACATGAAACTGGTAGAGCAGGGTGGCCTTGAGTCTTCTGTACCTACTTGGGCATTGCTGGAGATGAATGCCATTGTCAACCCAAACTATGTCTCAGACTGACGTCAAACTCAAAGTACAGCCATGGGTAAGAAAGTGATGTGGAGGCCTTACCTTCATGATCCCATTCCAGTTGTCCCCTGTTGATACCCTAAAGAGCGTGAGGAAGGCCATTCCAAAGTTGTTGAAGGTAGCATGCCGACTTAGGCCTTCACAAGGATTCTCCTCACTGCAGTCTACAAAAGAGCAAGGATGAGTCCACTTTTAGCTACAATGATGGTTTGGAGCTACCTAAGTGTTCCATCATCTGACTCCCAGTGTTCTGTTTTCTGAGTAATACCTTCTCCTCTCCTCTTCATTTACTCCCCTGGAATTCAGTCTCACCTTCCCCTGCTTCTCTGGAGGTACCCACCAGATTCTGGCATCCCCCTTGCCAGGTTGCCTGGTCACTGGTGGGAACTTAGTTGAACTGGACAGTGGGCAAGGCTGGGGTTCTCTCATCTTATGCAAGCCATAGGAACATCTGGCTATGTTCTTCCCTTTCAGCAGAGATAGAATGATCTCTGGAAAGTCCTCCTGGCATATTAACAGGGTCACCAAGCAACAGAAAAAGGAGAAGATGACTCACCTAACTTCCCAAATAATTCTACCCCCAGAGCAGCGTAGATGAAAAAAAGAAGCATAAATAGCAGGCCGAGGTTCCCCACCTAGAAAAGGAGATTGTCAAAAAGTCAGAAGTAAGCTGATATCATAGAAGGATTTTTATCTTGCTTAGATGGGATTTCTTGCCTTAGCGAGAATCAGTGGAGCTTTCCTCAACCTGGTGTCCCCTGGGCAGCTAGGGATGATGGACAATGATTCATATAAACACAACTGGGGGAGTGAAGGTGTCCTTGCATCCTACATCCACTGAATTTTTTGGAGAAGAAGCCAGATCTTCACTAAGTGAAAGCAAGAGCTCAAACTACATTTATATGGTGATTAACCAGCTTGGATGTCTTCCCAAAGCTTGTAAAGATCTGTAATATTAGAAGGATGTGCTCTGTCTATTTGGGCCACCTTCAACAGAACCTGAGTGTGAAGGACATCCGTGGTCAACCACTAGGTGAAACTGGACTGGATCTACAGAGAAGAAACTTTGCCCCTTGGCTGTTTTCTGAGGTTTGAACATTGACATTGATCTGTTCTGATGGGCTTCTCCAGCTGGGTTGCAGCCTCAGAGGGAATTCCCAGAGCTTACACTGGCAAAGAGAGCCCTGGAGAAGTTGGAGTAAAGTCTTGGGGGCAGAAAAACTACCAAGCTCAGAGAACACCAAGGACCCTTCGTGTCAACCCTGAGCTACAGATTGTCTCCTTTATTGGTTCTCCTTCCCCTTGTTGCTTGATATTCCAAAGCCACAGGCAAGTGGACTTTATCCCATAATAAATAATTATCAGCTCTTCCTTGGTGCTCTGCAGACAAGTGCCTGAAAGCAGAAGTGGTGGTTCTGAGGGATGACAACTTGACAATGTCAAGGCTTAATAAGGACACCAAGGCACTTCAGGAAACAGCGCTTTCCTTCTGCTAAGGTGGCCAAATTACAGTGAGGTCCAGCCTGGGGAACATATCCCTTTGCTTTTGGGGGATATCAAGAGGGGCCAAGTCTCTTCTCCAAGCTTCAGGTTAGGGATGGGTGAGCCCACCTGGTGGAAAATCCTAAGTGCATTTCAAGGACTCAGGAGCTCTTGGAGAACTGCCTGCCCAGAGTCCCCCAGATCTGCCACCTCTCCAACTGCCTTTCAGCAAAGGTTTAGGGGAGAGAAGCTTATGCAGCCTTGCCCCCCCTGCACCCCCAGTTCCTGTGGTGTAGCAGGCGGGAAAAGGGGTAGACGCTGCTCCCCAGCTGGATTTTAAGCAGACCTGACAATTGCTTGCAGTCAACTTACACAGTAGCCTTGCAGCTGAATTTACAGGGCTATAGAAACACTGATTTTCCCAGGCCAGCGCCTGAGCGGTTAACCCTTGGGAAAATCCCATTTCCCCGGAAAGCCTCAGCTGCTCCCCCTCAGCACAGAGCTATGGGGCAGGCCAGATGTGCAGAGAGGCCTTGTCCAAAAAAGGAAAGAGGAATGACGAGTGGGTGAGCAGTGGTGGCGGTGGGGATCAGAGAGGGCAGTGTTTCAATTGACGGAAGCATTGAATTTTTATTTTTTATTTTTGGAGGGGGAGGAGAGAATCTACCAGCATTTTTTCTCATCCCTGTCCCACATACGCTCCACGATCTCTCCAGCATGTGGGCAGCCTGCAAATGTATTCCAGAGGGAGGGCAGAGTTTCTCCTGCCTGTTTTTGTCCCCAGATGATCCTTCCCTTGTCACCCCCAATCTGACTGCGTGAGCTTTTGATACAGGCTTGTGCCGAGCCCCTTTCCCCAGAACACTTTTTTGGGGAGGCAAAAGTCAGACCCTCTTCCTGCTCCTCCATGGCAGGTGTGTGTGTGTGTGTGTGTGAGAGAGAGAGAGAGAGAGAGAGAGAGATGCCTTGCCTGGCTGACCACCAGCTAATGTGCATCTGAGAGCATCTTCTGGCTGTGGGTTTTGCCTTGTTCCCACCGTGGAGGTTCAGAGCATTAGGAAGACTCTCTCCTCTCTCCAGAGGCATGGACAGAGTGTCAAGGCGATCTGGTATTTCATGCCATGAGAACACCTATTCTGTGACATTGCAGAGACAGAACCGAGGGGCGAGCCTAGCCTGACTTTCATTGACGTCGGTGTGAAAAAGCTTTGAGAAAAGCTTTAGGACTTGTGGACTCAAAGTCATGGACTCGTTATCTCAAGTGCTGAGTTTAAAAAAAAACAGAAAAAGCAAGAGGAGGACAACATTTCGAGCTGCTGGAAATATTGTCCTCAATGCAATTGGGAAATGATGTTTGAAAATGTCCCTCTGGGCATGTAATTTTTCTTTCCTCTTGGGGCGAGACAAAAATGAACATTTTTGGGAAGCTGGAGGCATGGGAGTTGAAAATATATCAGGAGGAGGAAAATATTGGGTGCTTAAAATAGAAAGGAAAATCAACATCTGCACAGTTCCAGGTTTACCTGGGGAAGGGCTTGAACCACCGTGTCCAGCAAGGCCCGCATCCCCGTGGCCATTTTCAGTAGCTTCAGCACTGGAAAGCAAAGGAAATCTCCATGAACTTGGAGAGCAAAATGGGCATCGCCAACGGATTCTTAGCACATTGCTACGCTTCGGAGGGTGCTGATTTTGCTTTCCTGGTAAAATACATGGGAAAATCCCACTGAGGGGCAAACCCAGCTAAGGTTAGAATTAGGTCTCCATGAATTTGGACAGCGAAAATGGGCATTGCCAACGGATTCGGAGTGCCTGAGTACGCTTAGATGCAAAATGGCTTCCCCTCAATTTTGCTTGAGAGAGGCTGACTGGGAAGATCATTGTAGCACGATCTGGGGATGCTACATGGTTAACCATACATGCCGGTTGCCAAGCACCCAAGATTCGGTCCCATGACCCTGGGGATGCTGCAAGGTCCCAAATGTGGGGGCCAGTTGTAAGTCACCTTTTTCAGTGCTGTTGTAACTTTGAATGGTTGCTAAACAAATGCTTGTCAACTGAGGACCACCCGGATATAGGAGGGCGAAGGAAATGGTGCCAAAGACCCTCGCTCGGAGAAGCCCCTCACCTCTAGCAATCCTGAGCACCCTCATGATGCGGATAATGGTGGGGTTGATGGGGAGCGCGGCGTTCATTTCTATCTCCTCCAGAGTAATCCCCATGATGGACAGCAGGACGATGGCCAGATCCAGCTGGTTCCACCTACAAGGAGTAGGAGCAGGAGTAAGGCAAGGCACAGTGGCTGAGCTAATTCAGCAGCCTGCAATGTTGTGACACCACCACCATCCTTTCCACAATGACACCACCACCACCCCTTCCCCAAATAACCAGAACAAGCCCAGAAGAAAATCTCCCACCTGTCCTTGAAGAACCTCCGGAAGCCAAAGGCCACCAGTTTCAAGATGGCTTCGACCACAAAGACGAAGGTGAACAAGTAGTTGCAATATTTCAGGGCTTCTTCTAGAGACTGCAAGGAAACACAGGAGGGGGTTGCTTGTTAGGGTCCTTTGATGACTGTGCAAAAGGAGTTGAGGGGTGGGGTCTCCAATAGCAGTTAGCAGATGTAAGCATGTCATGGGACCTCTGGACAAATAATCAGCTGCCCTGCCCTTCACCTGGAAGCTCCACCAGGATCCATCCAGGACTTTCCTTCCTGTCTTCCAAAGAAGCTATAAGAAGCTCCTGGCCTTCGGCCCTTGGCTGACAGCCCCCAGGACTGAGCGGTCCCTCCTAGCCTGCCTCTGAATTGCCCACCTGGGTGCCAGTCCTGGGCCCCACCGAGGCTACGGAGACTCAAGAGAAGCTGTACCTTGGGTTGGTCAAAGTGTTCCATGGACATTGTGATGACATTGACGCCAATGATAAACGTGATGAAAAGGTCCAGGTAATGGCTGGTGCAGAGCGAGTGGATGTATTTTCGAGCAGGTGAATAATCGGCATAGTAGGGCCGTCGTTGAGCTTCTGCAGAAAAAAAACGCAACAAGGACAAATCAGCTTCTGCAGCCTCCTCGGCTTTTCCCAACGCAAGCCATGCTGGCACGCAAAACCATGCGAGCTGACCAATGGGCATGCTGTCCATGGCTCTGTGGATTGTGGGTTTTGTAGTGGAGGCTACCCAACCGCTGTGATGCTCCTCCTCTGTCCACCGAGACACGAAGAGGGACTCCACTGCGCTTCAGAATTCTTGGAGGTGAGCTGAAGGTTTTCAAGCTCAGGGAACTCTCTTCTTAAAAGGCTGGGATCCTGCCTTTCCCAAAGCTGCTATGTGGGTGGGATTATTGGGGTATCTGAAGAGAGCAAATCCTCAGGGGGGTCTTTAAAATAAGAGGTGGGGCAGAGAGATGATAGATCATAACAAGCCAGCAATGGATCAACTCCATTCTCCTTCAGGGATGAGGACCACACAGCTTTCCCCAAGCTGGTGCTCTCCAGGGACATTGGGGTTTAGTGCCCACAATTCCCAGCCAACAAGGATTATGGGGGATGAATCTAGTACATTTCAAGGCACCAGACTGAGGAAAGCTGGCAAAAGAATGGAAAAGTAGAAATCTAATAAGATAAGAGGTGTCCAAATGTAGCAACTTTAAGACTTGTGGACTTCAATTCCCAGAATTCCCCAGCTGCATGGGGGAATTCTGGGAGTTGAAGTCCACAAGTCTTGAAGTTGCCAAGCTTTGATACCCCTGGTCTAGATGATTTGTTGGCCTTAGCATTGTGGTGTTTAGGACATTTTCCAAACCTTTTAGAAATCCCCACAAAACCCCGGAATTCTGCCTGTTATTCTCAGCCCAAGTGAGCATGATCGTCCCCATTTGATTATGGGAGATGCAGGCAGCTGGTTGTTAGAAGGGGAAAAAAAGACCGGGTGAGCTGGAGTTAGCCTCCTAATTCCTCCAGGGGCCCACCTAGCCATTGCCACCCTCTTTTTCCTGCCCTCGACCCTTTTAATGCCTCCCAGCCGAGACGGTTACATCGCCAAACGTTTTGCTGATGCAAGACACCAGCCGATTGGAATCTGCAAGCGGAACTAATCACATCAAAAGGAACCCAATTGACTGGTAACCCTTCAGCTATTAATCCCTCCCTTCCATCGATGGCTAAAAAGGACATTTAAGTTAGTGTGTGTGTGTGTGTGTGTGTGTGTGTGTGTGTGTGTGTGTGTGTTCCAGCAGGGTCTCTTAGGCAAGCAGTTTGAAAGCCTGGCAAAAAGGGTTTTCTCTCTCCTGCCTGGCTGCCTTTGAGCTCTCAGGATAATTGGCAAGAATCCTGTAAAGCAGCTCCTGAAGCCACGTGTTGGGCAGCATGCAACGAGCAGGGCTAATCCTAGCAACGGGGTGCCTTGAAGGAAGGGGGTGATTTTTGATTTTTGGGAGGAAAAAAAATAGGGCTCGAGTGGTTGGGTGGGTGAGGGTCTGAAGCAGCAGCAGCAGCAGCACTGCTGTGAGAGCTCTGCTTGCGCACTATATGAAGATGGAAAGAAGACCAAAAAGGGAAGGGCTGCTCCCCAGGAAAGGAAAACCAACCAAGAATATACCGAGTTTCCCAAAGGTGCTTTTTCGAAAAGCAACTGGACTTTGTTTTTCCTTGAAGACGTTTCACTTCTCATCCAAAAAGCTTCTTCAGTCTGACTGCAAGGAAAATAAATCCTTCCATCCTCCACCATTCAGTCAGAACTGAAGAAGCTTCTTGGATGAGAAGCGAAAAGTCTTCAAGGAAAAATAAAGTTCAGTTGCCTTTTGAAAAAGCATCTTTGGAACAACTATGACCTGGATGACTGAGACTCTCCATGGACAACATGCTGGGTTGGTTTTTCGGATGCGATCTGAGTAGCTCACTGGCTCACAGTGAAGATTTTCTAGGTTTGGGAAGCCCTGGACTTCTCTCCTTGAGCTCTTGCGTAGTATAAAGGACTCTGAACTCAGTCAGGACCACTAACCAGATCAGAACTGCAATGTATGTGAAACTCAGTTGGAAGCTTGGACATCAAGCTCTGGGGGCATGTCTCTTGGTCACTGCCAAGGCCTCGGAGCGAGTGCACCAGAGAAAACTCCAGGCTCAGAGAGCATCTTCTAGATGGCAGTAACCATCTGCCTGAGCTTTGTCTCAGGTAATCTAGAAGAGCTAATGCTGGATCCATCGGTCCCTATGAGCCATCTCTCTTTGACCTCGGAAAGTCTATCTGGCCCCTCATCTTGTGGGAAAGAGAGGCTCATCTGGAGCTCTCTGTGGTGCTGCATCTAATGCTCCACACGTCTCATTTTGCCCTTTAGGCGCAAATATCCTGCTTGTCTTCATCCCATCCTTCTTTATCTTCTGACCCTTTGCTGTCGCCCAGATCTTGATCTCTCTCATTACTTTCTAACTCATCCAGGTCGACAACTATCCATTCACTTCCTATCTTTGAAATACTGGACTGTGATTCTTGCTGAGTGTTAGGAGTCTATTGGGGCTCACTCTTATCTTGCAGGAGCTGAGATGATGCCCTCAGAGGAACAGTTCTAATGATCACATTAGCCAATCACTGGTCTCCTTAAGGAAAGCCTTGATGAATTATCAACATGATCCTCCAGGGTCTTCCAGAAAATAGTCTGAAGGCCAACCCCCCTGAGGTGATGCCCTGCAGATCTCTAGAACTACAATAGTGCTAGATGAGGATTAGGGGAATTATAGCCCAGGATAGTTGATAGGTTCCAGCTTCAGGTGAACTTGTTGCTTCAAAAGAGATGCATGACAAAGTGGTGGTCTCCTTCTGGCACAGAGGTAGAACACACAGACATGACACACAAGCTGAAGAAAAAGAACATCAGGTTGATCTTGGTTGATCTCCCAAATAGTTCAGAGGCAAGCAGGAGCTCTGGAGACATCCCCAGCACGTGAGGAGAAGGAACATGCAGTTCCAGCTTGGAAACATGTTACATTGTAAGTACACTGACGACATAGGAAAAAGCATGACATCCACATCACACATGTTCCATCATGCAATGTCCATTAGAAGAGATGCCAACTCATGCACTGCAGAAGGGGAATACAGAAGGTGCCGGGAGGGGGGGTGACATAAGCTGTTTGGTGAACATAACTCCCCTCTTGATTATGAGGTTGTAGAACCAACGCACAGTCCCATTGACGCCAATGCTTACACTGTTGCACAGACAAATAGGGAACAAACCGAAACTGCGTATTATTCTAAATACTTTTCTGTTCCCCTTTGCTTTGTTTTATGAAGCTTAAGGCTGGGTCAAAAGCTCATGGGGGGTCATGGCAGAAACTGGGGTCAAGATTTCATCTGGGAATCAGACCCATCTCTTTGGGCACAGAATGTGTCCCTGTGATTAGAAACTTCTGGGTCTTCTACTCATCACCGTTGAGTGGTGGAAAATATGGACACGTCATATACAACATATCCTCAAATTATATCACGCGTTCTAGATGCCATCCCTTGTTAGCAGGAAGAAGTGGATCTTCTCTGACCTTCTTCCATGGTCCAGTCTACTTTCCTATCTGCTTGGCTTTCAAAAGCCAATGACATGTGTGACTTTTGCCAGAAAGATGGAGGTTCCAGCTCCCACCCAATCACAGAGGCCACTGGGGGGCTTTGGACCCATCAATCTCCAGTCCTGCCCACCCTCAAATCTGTAATTATGTCACTTGGTCCAATCCCTGCCCTGCAAGGCTATCCTGCAGGGTTGCATTCCCTCCCTCCCTGGAATTCCTTATCCTCTAACAGCGGGCTCTCCAAACTTGACAACTCTAAGACTTGTGAACTTCAACATAGCTGGTTGAGGAATTCTGGGAGTTGAAGTCCACAAGTCTTAAAGTTGCGCCAAGTTTGGACACTCTAACACTCCAGCCTGGCCCTCTAACCAGCCCCTTGGCCTGTTGCCATCACTGGCAAGGAGCACCCTTGTCTCAACCTCTGGTCACTCACAGACACACCCCACCAAGCCACACAGAAGCTACAAAGTGTCAGCCACACATCAGATCTTTCTGAGTCCACCTATTTTCTTTTTGAACATATATACATCCTAATCCCTTGAATGAAAGCAGAACCAAGAACCTGCCTTCTTCTAGATGGGCCCTTGACCTATCTCAGTTAACAGAGCCTATGTTGCTATAGGTGTCCTGGCTTCCAGTTTAACATTCTTTCCCAGTCCTTCTTGGAACCTCAGGAGATAAGTCCTAAAACTTCTTGCATGCCAAGAGGGTTTTCTGTTGAGCTACAGAGCCTTCCCATCTCAAGATCTTCCCTCACAACCTTAATTTCTCTGGCTTCGCCCAACTTCTCCTGAATGTCTGAGCTGCTTCTCCTACAACTAACCATCTTCTGGTCTTCTTTCAACCAACATATTTTTCCCACTGTTGCTTCTTTTTTCTATTAAATGCTCCTGCCATCCAATTCTAATATCGTTTCCCTTCTTGACTTTCCTCTCTGTGGCATATCAATTCTTAAGCCCCTTGGGCAGGTAGCACAAAACCTCTATTTTTCTGTTCAGTGCACTGTTGAAATGGGAAGAAAAAAAACATTTCAAAATATGATTAGGTTTCTGCCTCGACTCTGTGCAGAAACCTGACTGGAGGCCACATTCCGACTGAGAAAATCTTTTGCAGGCTGAACGTGCATCTCTTTTAATGGACTCCATTGAGGGGAACTCGTTTCCTGCCCTTGAAAAGGGGAGGCCTCCTCATTCCTTCCCTTCTGGTGGTTTTCCACATGCGTCTCTCGTGGGGCATGCAGGGCCCTTGTGCCAAAGTCCTCCAAGAAATTTGCAGCCACTTTTTCCCTGAAACCCTTTGGTGATGCTTTAAGCTGCGGGGGGGGGGGGAATGAAAGTAGCTGAAATTATCTTCAGACCCAAAGCAAAACCAGGTGATCAAACTTTATCTTCAGTTGTTGGTGATTTGGGGGTTCCAGCAGAGCATCAAAAGCCAGGCCTCAGAAATAGGGATGCTTGCTCCTTAGAGACCCCCAAAGTTATGGTTCCCATGCAGTGAGTGTTTCTTGGGTGCTCTGGGAAAACAAGATCTCCTAGGAGCCCCTTAAACCTGCTTGTGGAGAGGGAGAAGGGAGTCTTCTGCTCAGTGGTTTTACAAGTACCACAGTTAGGGCTTTGATTGGACATAACTGGGTCCTATAGGACTCAGATATCCTCCCTGCTTTAGGACTTATTTCACATCAGACGTTGGTCTGTCTAGTCTGTAAAGTCCACTCTAAGTGATGATGTCTGTACAAACCTTCTATCTTAATATTCTGAATTCCAGGTGTTCAGGCCAAACTTTCTGCATGGTCCCCCACCTATAATTCTTTTCCAGATGTATATTAATGTTTAGACTTTGTTCTTCCAAGAACTATTTGCCACCCTGGAATGGTGGCTGGGTTCTATTTCACTCATAAGCTTCAGCCTATCGGTGGTGCCCCCATTCTCCTCCACCCCTCCATTGCGAATGGCAACAGAGAGGGAAGGAGGGGGGGGTCACCTCCAAAATGGCAGCCTTCTTTGGGATCAAACTCTCAGGGCCAAGCAATAGAAGTAGAGCCCAGACACTTCAGAGCTCAAATCTGTCTGGTTCTGAAGAAACTAGTACAGGAGAATATTTGCAGCTCAGGGTTGAAATGAGGGGTCCTTGGTGTCCTCTGAGCTTGGTGGATTTCTTGCAGACATTTCATGACCCAACTAGGTCACATCATCAGTGCTAGAAGAGAGTGAGATTTGTTGGGAGGAGGAGGAGGAGGAGGAGGAGGAGGAGGAGGAGGAGGAGGAGGACTGAAGGGTCCTTTGTGCTCTTTGAGCTTGGTTGTTTTCTTGCAGATGTTTCACTAGCCAAACTAGGTAACCATTGAATAACACTGATGATGTTACCTAGTTTGGGTAATGAAACGTCTGTAAGAAAACCAGCACGCTCAGAGAGCACCAAGGACTTCTCAGAAGAAACTTGCACCCAATACCTGCTTAGGGGAACCGTGCTCATTTTCCTATCCATGCTGAGCAGGGATGTTAAAAGAGGAACGTGATGGAGCTGAGCCTCGTGCATCAAAGAAGAAAGGATGAGCTGCCTTCTGGCTCTTAAAGCATCTCCAAAGATGGAAAGGAAAAAGGGTTTTTTGGGTCCCATCACCAACCCGAAGGAGACCAGGCAATAAGGAGGAAGGTCGAGATGGGCGTTGGGAGCAGGCAAGTCTCAGAAAGATTGTGATTGTACTGCTGTCTACCGACCAGACATGTATATCGCCTTACTCCTGCGCTTTTTCTCCAGACGCCGCAGCCGTTTCTCTTCGCGTCGCCGGGCCTCCTCGGCTTCCTGGTGCTGCCGACACTTGTGGAAGTTCTCCACCACCACCCCGACGAACATGTTGAGCACAAAGAAGCTGACGATGAGGAGGAAGGAAATGAAGTAGAGAAGCATCCAGAGGTTATGGTTCCGGCTGGGCTGGCGAGGCGGCCAAAAGGCAGCAGGAAGAGGGGAGAGATGGGGGGTGGGGAGACAAGGAACAATGGCGTATGAGCACAATGGAGATGGAGCCCACCCTCAAGATGAGTGGCCGCCAAGGTCCAGGGAGAGGCAACCCTTTGATCTCTAAAGGTTGAGGCTGAAGCTTCCTAAAGAAGTTGGCATCTTGACCAGCTTACTCCCTCTCCCGTGGAATATATAGCCAGGATGCCCCCGTGGCATAATCAACTAGCTTGCCCAGCTGCCTTAAATAATTGCATTCTAGTTTTGGAATAGCGCCTGTTTGAGTTATTTCTGATTTTAGTTGCATGTTCTGCACCCCGACAGGGTAACAACAGGGAGTCTAAGATTAAAAAATAAAAACTCAAAAAGAAGACTTCATACTGAGAGGAAGGAAACTTTCCAAAGACAGTTTGGCTCTGATAATTCTTGACTATCTTTGTTTTGCTTTTAAACTTAGTTGCACTGCAGGATGTTAAGTCATTTCAGACAAATTTGTTTTTTGAAAGTGAAAGACTTGAAGACTCTGGGACTGTCTTTAATTTGTTTCATGGAATGGCTGGATAAGCATCCCTGGGTCAGGGGAGGAGTGAGTGGGAGAAGACATCCTGGGAATTCTGGAAACTGGAGGATCAACCCAACTGAAGGTGAGGCCCACCTGGGCAGCGTCCCCTGTTCAGGAGGTGCCTTCAGGGACAGCCACAAAGGATTAAATCTCTCTGGCAGTGTTTGAATGACATCACCCCTAATTGCACTGTGATGGATCATCATCACCTGAGTGCTATAGGGTCTCCTGCTTGAGCAGGGGGTTGGACTTGAAGACCTCCAAGGTCCCTTCCAATTCTGTTGTTCTGTTATCTTTTTCTTCATCATCCATGTGGGCGTCCTGCATCACCAAATGGTTATCCCCTCCCCGTGGTGAATAAATGACTAGCACCTTAGCCAGCATGTTGACCCTATCATTGATTGCCAATCACTGAGCTGCACATGCATGTGGGAATGAGTCTTTAAGCAACTCCCCATGAATGTTCTTAGGATATTTAGTGTCTACCTGCTGGTCAATCCCCACTGCATCCAATCCATCATACATGATGTTCACCCAGCCATCTTTGGAAGAGAGGACGAACAAGGACATCAGGGCCTGTGAAAGCAAAGAATGCAGTTCCTCTGTTTATAAAAGTGGAATTTTCAGTTTTTGCTTACCTTTCAGTCTATTGATAAATCAGATCCACCTCCCCAGGCTATGTGTGATACTTTCCTGGGGAAAAGTGAATATGGATGGATATAATTCACATAAATCAAAGCTCGTTGGAGTCCTCCATTGTTTTTAAGAAGACCAAGACCAAATGTTTGAGAATTGCTGCTCTAGAAAAAGACAATGTTTCTTTCTTCAACTCTGCAGGATAAAATGGGTTTTCCCTGTCACACTTCCTGCCCTTGGTACAGCATCTCACTAGAGATCCATGGGGATCCACCTTAACCATGTCCAGAAAATCTCTGAAAACCCAGTAATCTTCTCAGCCCTTGGGAGAGGTGGGTGTAGGATTTTTTTTTCTAATTTGGTCTGGAGTATTTCTTCTGAACATCCATCCATCTTTGATTGTTCTTCTTCACTTTTAAAACTGTAAGCCACCCAGAGTGTCTCCAAGTTGGGAAGCCTCTAAGCCTCTTCAATTAAAAATTCAATTAAGTTTAGAAGATGGAGAAGGTTGCTTGGCTGGAGAAACTTCCTTTCTGTCCTCCTTCTCCTATCCACCTTACCTGTCCCAAATTGTCGAAGTTATACTTCCGCCGGACCCATTTGTAGTGGGCTTTTCTGCAGTCGGACTTAGTGGAGATGTTTCGGATATCAGCTCCCTCACAGTGGTAGAACTTGCCCTTAAAAAGCTGGGAGAAAACAGAATCAAATCAGCAGGCGAGGTGGAGGATCTGATTTTCAGCTTGACTTGGAAGGCAACCTAGATTTTGGTGAGACCCTCAGGAGCGGTTTGACCACAGGGGAGATCTGGGTGTCCTTCTGTTAGAAAGAGGAGCAAGGGGCCCACTGTGGAAATGGGCTTCTTGCAGCACCGGAACCTGAACTGGGGAAGGTCTACCTGGCCTTGTGAGAAGGTGCTGAGTGACTGGATTGAATGATGGGTGCTAAGGAATCATCCGTGCAGGAAGGCACAATGGTCTTCACAACCAGGCCCAGGAATGTCCAGGACACAGAACGTTGGTCACTATTAGTGCAGAAGTCAAGGCTCAAGGAGTCCCTGCCCTTTCCTGGACTGTCCTTTAGAAGTTTCTTTTAAGATCCAGGAGAAACAGGAAGACTTTTTTCCAAGTCAAACTGTAAAGGATCACATCTTAAAGGTGTAAGAAGGACACATAGACCTCAGCTCCAGCAGATCATGGTGAACGCCATCTGAGATCTACGTTTCACATTCAGGCCAAGACAAACCAGGATTTATTCCAAGGCAGAACGAATAACCCTCAAGAAGAAGGGCAGCAAGAAATCTTTCAGTGGGTCTTGGCACTCGGCACTCGGCAAAGGGGTGTGTGTGGTGGGAAAGTCTTACCTGCACTCCTAAAATGCCAAAGATGATAAAGAAAGCACAACAGATCAGGACGATGTTGCCGATAGGCCGGAGAGAAGAGATCAGCGTCTCAACTACGAGTTTCAGACCTGGAGCTCTGCTGATGACCCTGGATTGGAGAGGAACATCTCCTTTTTCCATCCCATTTCCAGACTCCCCAAGAAATATTCAGACCCCCAGAAGACACTACCAATTGGGAAGCAACAGAGACCTTTGAAACCATATTTTATAACTTTTAAGTATTCTGGTTCCCTCCATCCCTCACTTTTGATTGCATGCATGGCCGCATAATGAAAAGCAAGATCCGAAAGGAAAGAGAAGCAAGCGGAGGAAGTCTAGTTTGGATCTGTGAGGACATTGCTGGAGAATGGAGAAGGTTGAGTCCTTAATGCCGTCTCTTGCAGTGGAGAGAAAAAGCTCTCCTCCCATGCCCAGAGGAACTCGTCTAGGGGCATGCTTTGTAGGGACAAAACAGCTCCCCAAACTTGAAGTTTACCTCATCAGTGCTTTCAGATGCCCTCAGAGACTTTCTCCCCTTGGTCGAGATGGGCCTGGGCTGGCTTTTTGAAATCGTAATCTCTTTAAATGCCCAGCCAGTCCCAAGACCCATCTCTCCCTAAGAATATCCCAGCACAAACCTCACCCCAGCAAGAAACAGATGGACTACGGCTGCTTCTTAGTTTATTTCCACCAAAGCAATCAGAGCCCCATGCTGGGTTGTTTTTTGGGCCTCGTTTTGCTTTTCCTGTGGTCATGATGTGAAGCAGCAGACTCCCACGGAGAGCAGAGAAGAATTCCCCCAGCACGTTTCCCTCCCTCCCTCCCTCCCTCCCTTCCTCCTCCTCCTCCTCCTCCTCCTCCTCCTCCTCCTCCTCCTCCTCCTCCTCCTCCTTTCTCCCTCTCAGCTTCTTCTCCTTTTCCTCCAGACGCCTCGCTTATTACTGGATGGCAGACAAAAAGACCAGCTCCCTTTTGCCTGGTTTCAGATATGGAAAATGTTGTCCTCCTTTTGACTTTCTAGCAAGACTTTCCTCTGTGGTTCTGAACACAAAACATTTGCAGATGCCAGGAGTTCTCAAATTATTATCCATCACAGTTGGAATGCAAATTCACTCCAGGGCAAGGTGTCTGCTGTGTCCCTCTCTGCCATCTTGCTGGACACCCCCCCCCCTTCAGGGCAGGGTCTGGTGTTCCTGGAACTGCTGCCAGATCTGCCATAGAGCACCTTCAGCAATTGGCCTCAGATGGTTTTGAAAAGGTCTGGAAATGCTGGGAAAAAGAGTGTTTATCTTGCACCAGGCAGGATTATGCGACCTACTGCAAACAAGGGCAATCCTTCTACCTGCTGGGAAGAATGGGCTGCTTCAGCTTTCGAGACAGGCACACGTGTGTAGCTGCTAAACGGGAAAGCATGCATGCTAACCTATGCATCCCAGGACCCTGTGCCAGAGACGGCTGGAAAGCAAACGCTGAGTTTTTCCATTCACAGTCTTATTGCTTTTGTATTTCTGTTGATATGCAGCAGAATAAGCAAGTTCAGCTCGAAGCCAGATAGGCAGAACCAGTCTGGTGTTTGGCCAAAGCACGGGCTATGATACACATGATGCCTCAAGTTAATTAAAGCACCATGCCACATTTGGATGCAATTTGGAAATGACCAGGAATACACCAGTTTAGTCTTGTTCTACAGCCAAAAATGGGGAGAGACACTGAGACATTAAGAGAGGTCTACCAGTTGCAAATGGCAAATTGTAGCCCCCCCCCCCAGCTCCAAATGAATCTTGAGAGTTCTACAAGGCTCTCAGACCAAAGAATTTGCCAGTGAAAAAAGTTTGAGAAGAGATTTTGAGTTTGTTTCTTAGCAAGAGTTGGTTTGGAGATCGAAATGACCTCCCTAACTGTTCAGGTCTGGGAGGCTGGGTTCTCCCCTCCTAATCCTGAGGAGGAAAGGGATTAGCTCAAATGCCTCCTGCTTTGATAGAAGGCAACTAATACCGTAAAGGTCTTAGGGTGCGTAGCAGCCGAAGTACTCGTAGGACCCCTAAAATCTTGGCTCCGCCTGCTGATGCCATGGAAACGATGATGTCAATGATGGACACAAAGACCAGGATTCCATCCAGGACGTTCCAGCTGCTCTGGAGGTAGGTGTGTTCCCCGGAGAAGAAGCCGAGAGCCACAACCTAGAAGGAGAATGGGAAAGGCTCTTCCAGGCACGGATGTTCATGCTGCATTGAAGATCAAGAACCATTTCACTGGAGATGAGACAGAATCTGGACCTGAACTGTTCAGGAGGGGGGAGGGGTCTTTGCAAAGAGTACAAGCCAACCACCATCTTCTACCACTGCAGAAAACTGGCTTGAGTTAACTTTTCTGCCAGATGCGAGAAAAATTGACAGGAACCACGTAGTTGCTGCAGTGGAGCAGTTCTTGGATGCAATGTCTTTTATACTTGGGTCTCCCTCAAGAGTATTTTGGATAAGAGTGTATATACTGGAATGTCACGTTATATCCAATGTTTTTTAATTATATTATAAATAAAATTTTGAAAGAAAAAAGAGAATATCCTCCTTCCCCTCAGTGAAAGTAATAAAATGAATAATTGTCCCTCTTTGATTTATCCTCCCATTCAGTAGAATGGATGGACCTACACTTGCCGTACATTAATCCAAGGGGAGCCAATTGGAAGTGCAGCGACGTTACCTTAACCATCATCTCAGCAACAAAAATGGCCGTAAAGATGTAGTTGGAGACACTCAAGAATATCCGTTCCTGCAAAAAGGAGAGAAACCAGAAGTTGAAATCCAAACCGGCAAGGGACTCAGCCCCTAATCCCAGGAAATCTCCATGAACGCTCTCCTAGGTCCCTGAATTCAACCCGCCTTCTGTGCCAAAACTGCACAGTTCACCAGATCATCCTGGTAAATCCTTTCTCTACCTTGTTTACCTTGCAGGGGTTTTATGAAAATTACTGTTTGGAATGCAAGTCACGCAGCCTAAAGCTGCTTAATCGTTTTTGGTGGTTTGGGAGTTGGTGTTTTTAATTGCGGGGACATTAGCCAAGTCGTTTTGAGAAGTGGAGGAGGAAAGTCAGCAGCTAGGCTACATCTTGGGGAAACACCTAGTTTTACCCCAAATAATTTGTCTAATCAGTTTCGGGAGGGTTGTCAAATTGCCCAATAACTCAGCACAAGGCAGCTTTTTCATCCTTGACTCTTTGACAAGCAAAGATGAAGCTCCTTCTTTGACAAGAGGCAAAGATGTTAGAAAAAAAAATTCCTTCTGCTCTCCCCCCAACTCCAAGAACCACTGGGGGCTCACCGTGCTGTTGGGATCGATGTCTGGGCGTTCCAAGGCGATGGTGATGCAGTTGAGGAAGATGAAAACCAGGACCACGTGGTCAAACATCTTGTGTGTGATGACTTTCTGGCAGTTGGCCCGGAGGCTGAAAGTAAGGCAGGGGGGCCGGTCAGTTGCCCCCCAGGACCTCAAACATTCCTCTATTTTTTAGGCCAATAGGAAAAGGGCACCCAATGCCCCACACCTGCCCCTTTGGATAGCTGAGCTGCAGATTGTGCAGGCTGCCTTGATATTTATAGCATATCACGGCTCCCAAATTTAGGAGATCCTTATCTTTAGCTGCGTTAATGCTCTCCCCACAGCTGTCCTGCAAGGGAACCCGATACGGTCCCTGTGATTCAGGTGTCCCAGAAGCTGCAGACCCTGTTCTCCTGTTTGGTCAGTTCCACGGGGACAATCAACATCAACTACCTCGCTTTAATTTAAATATCCAGGGCACCCTGATAATTTTTATTGGCTGTTAAATAATCAATATTCAATAGTAATCAATAAATCAGTAATCAATAAATCAGTTTTCAATAACTTCCTGGTCTGGTCCACCTGGTGAGGCTGACATCAATCTTGCATGTCTGGTGATGGTCCCTCAACCACCTCCTACTCATAGTTCAGTGAGTTATGGAGGTGTCAGTCTGAGCCTTTTTTCAAATGTTATTTAAATATTTTGCACTATTTAAAAATGCTTCTCCCCGTTTTACATAGGTAACAAGGCCTGCACTGCTCTGTCAAGGTCACCTTCCAAGACAGGGAGTATGAAAACCTTCTGGAGAGACCAGAAAGGATGTCCAAAGCAGGGCGCCAAGGCTTGCTCTGTTCAGCCCAAGAGACAAACGAGCCCTTACCGATTGTGGGGGGAAAACAAGTAGAGGGACCAGTCCTCATGATTCTTGCACCATTTGGGCTTGTAGGGCTCCAAGCTCTTGCGGATTCTGTAGCAGAAGCTCTGGGTGGAGGAAGAGGGAAAAAAGGAAGGAAGCCCCCTTGGGAAATCTGATCCTGAGAGGTGCTCCTCTCCCCACCTTTCTCTTATCTCCCTTCAAGTCTGGCAGGCAGTGGCCGCTTGCACCCGTGGCCGTGGCTGGGTTGCGTTGCACGTTCTCATAGGTTTGGGACTGACAGCTGTTCCTGACCAGCTGGAGGAGTGTAGGAATGTCACAGGAAGGGACTTCCTTTTGACGAGTTGTGGGGTCTTCCCTTCCTACCTTAAAGAGGGCAAAATTCATTCCCCCCCCCCAAGGCTATCATTGACCACTTAAGACGTTGTTGGAGGGTGGGAGTGGCTGGAGGCCCCTTGCTTCCAGGAAGAGCTGACCTCTGGCCTCACTTGGGGGGGGGCGATGAAGAACAAAGGCTGCTTTGGACTTACATCTTCCATGTTCTCATCGTAGTCGAAGGGATCCTCTTTGCGGCTGTCCAGGTGCAGGTAGAGCTCGCTGGGCACCTGCAGCATCTTGCCATTGCAGTCCTGGTACTCGAGGGGCAGCATGGCTACCGGAGGGTGCACTCTGGGCACCTGGAGGAGTTCTGGCAGGTCCAAGCCACCCCGGCAGTCCAGGGACTCTGCCCGGTGGTGCAGGGGGCGGCGGCTGAGGGTGCTAAGCTTGGTCTCCTCGGCTTCATCGTCTGTGCTGCCTTTGCCCTCCCCTGAGAGCAAGGACTCCCGCTCGCCACACTGGCTCTTCTTCTTGAGGCTGGGGGCCCGGCCCAGGCTGTTCCAGCTTGAGCGGCGGCTGCCCCAGTTGGCACAGGGGGAGCTGCGGAGGCTGGACTGAGAAAGGAGAGGGGACCAGGTCAGGGTTTGGCAAGGAATCCTTGGAAGTGTAGCCCCAACTTCAGAAGGTGGAGAAGACCTCCGTCCTACTTCATCCTCTCAGCTCAAAGAAGCAGCAGGATTTCCTGGCTGGAGGTTTCTTCTCCACCTTCTTCCCAGCACCCACCTGCCCCAAACGGAGAGCAGTTTTCCCTTCCCAACCCTTCCCTGCCCTGCCATTTCTTGGAAAAATACCAAAGATTTCTGGTCAAAGCTGAGCGGGTCCACTGAAACGTTGCAGCCCCTCCTGGAGTCCCCCAAAGGGTAGGCCGAGTCCATGTGTGGAGACCCCTTTGGGGTGGGCATGGGAGTGGCTGCGGTGTGCATGATGATGGGCGGGGGCATGCTGCCCTTGCCCTCCAGGTGTCCGTTGGGCGTGACGGCCAGCGAATACATCTTCATCTCTGCAAGGGAGGAGACAGGACCTTCTCAGCAATCTCTGGGCAAGATGTTCTGAACCTACTTCTGGCCTTCAGCCACAACCCCCACCCACAGATACCTCCACATGAGCCAAGCAGACCAGCATCCCAGGAGAAATTGTTCCTACATAGATCTAGGTTTTCTCCACAAGGAAAAAGGTGTTATAGACTCTTTGAGGTTCTGACAACTTTGCTGGGTGAGGAAGAAGGATTGAAGATGTTCATGAAAAATGCACAGAAATATGAAGCTTTGCAGAATAAACAGTGTTGGAAGGGACCTTGGAGGTCCTCTAGTGAAACCCCCTGCCCAAGCAGGAGACCCTATACCATTCTGGAGAAATAGCTGTCCATTTCCCTGAGGGGCAATACAGAAATTCTTGGGGAGAGAAAAAGAGAAGCAAGTAATAATGTCCCGGTTGACCCCATCTTCGTGCTTCCTCCGATGATCTTTCAAAGGTCAACATCTCTGCCTAACCGGGCTGCTCAGAGCTTTGATCTTTTCCCTCAGATCGAAAGGGAAGCCCTCAAGGATTGCCTCCCCAACCAGCCAGCCATCTCTCCTTACCAGAAGCACGGAGTTCCTTCAGCTTCTCAAACTCTTCCTCAAAGTTCGTTGATGTTTTGTCTTCATCTGTGTCAGATCTGTTGGCATCGCCCTGAAGTGCCCCCAAAATAAAATAGAACAAAAGGTTGGCAACAGATTTGCAATTATGTCAGGTGAATGAAGTTATCTGGAGTCAAACAAAGGGGCAAATCTTTGTTCCTACGTGTTGTAAACATGTATTTTAAAAAAGGCTTATTTCACGGCTCTTTGGTTTATCATTCCTAACTCCTCATGGAAAACAAAGGTCTGTTTGGAATAGACCCTCCTGAGAGTTGGCATACAACAATTCTTTCTGCTGTTGAGAAATAATGAGATTTGGGGACTTTTAAAATTTCCATCTACTTACTGCTTCCTCTACCAGGTCTGTGTCTATGTTCTAGCTTGCTGCTATTGTTTAGACCAGGGGTCTTCAAACTTGGTTCTTTTATGACTTGTGGACCAACTCCCAGAATTCCTCAGCCAGCATGCTGGCTGAGGAATTCTGGGAGTTGAAGTCCACAAGCCATAAAAGAGCCAAGGTTGCCTACCCCTGAACTAACCTAAGAGAGCTAATGTGGAAAGAACTGGTGGCCAATGTCTTTCACTGGACGGAGCTTTCCTGCTTCCTACTGACTGTTTCAGCTTTTTTCTTCAGAGGAAAAGAAAAGGATTTCCTGGACATTTAAATCACAGCTCCAAGGGGTGTCATCACCACCACCAAATCCTCTTCCCACCCCTGCCATCGCCAAGCCTGTAATTACATATTTATGCCAAGCAGAGATGGAACTGCCCATCCCTAGTTCCGCAGAATCAGGCCGTTTATGTGGCCAAGATACTGGAAAATCTGGAAGACAACTCTTCATTACAGCTTATGCAATAATAACTTATTTTGCTGAGTAAATTAATGGGTTGTGTTCTTGTGAAGACATTTGCAAAGAACGGGGGGGGGGGGTTTGCTCATATTTGGAGCTAGGATGCTTTGCTGTACTGGAGGGATGTCAACCAATTCTTCTGGGTGCTTTGCCTCAATATGACCTCCAGCTCTTGGACCCCATCTTCTCCTCTGCTTAGCTGTTGACTTGCGCCCAACTCAAGACACGCAGAGTGCTGCATCTGGAGGCAAGCAGAAACAATGGGCACTCCTTGTCTCTCCTGAAGAGTTGCCCCTTCCTGCTTGTCCAGTGCCAGTCGAGCGGCCAAGTGTTTCCAGATGGTGGCTGCCAACCCCAAACCCTGGGAGAGAAGCTGAGGCCAAAAACGCTGGAGGACCAGCGGATGAATGGAGACCAGGAGAAGAGCAATGGATACACAGCTGCAGGGCTGGTGGAACTGTTTCCAATGGGTGGCCTCTGTTATTATGGTGGCTTATTTAGGGAAAAGCCACTGAAGAGATGGAAATGAGACTGTGGATGGCAGATAGGGCCACTGTGTGTCCAGAAATTCTGGGCTACCCTCCCAGAGAACCACGTGCCGACCTCGTCTGCCTGTTGCCCTGGCTATCTCTGAGCACAGATGTGAAGAAAATGGGAGAGTGGGTAGAACAGAGAGTCTAGAGAGACTCTTGCCAAGAGCAGGCACTGGTCCAAAGCAGAGGAACAGTGTGCTCCTGGGGGGGGGGGCATAATGCATTGAAGCAGGCTGGCCCTCATGACATTCCTCCAGGCCACATACTTTATATCAGGAGTCTCCAACTTGGCAACTTTCAGACTTATGGACTTCAACTACTAGAATTCCCCAGAATTCTGAGAGTCTTAAGCTTGCTAAGGTTGCAGACCCCTGTTTGATATGGCTCACCATATGGGCATTCTGATATCAGTTACTTTGAAGGTTGCAAAATATATCCAGGGCCCTGATGGTAGAAACATGAGAGAGGGAGAGGTGGCGGCTACAAGGAAGGGGAACCCGTGAAGGCAACAGTGGAGCTTTGGAAGAGAAGGGAAGGCTGAAGCAACTCTCATCTGGGAAAAAATATTGAGTGTTGCAGTCCCAACATCCTGAAAGGGTGCAAGCTGCAAAATGTTGACTTTTGCTCAACACCTTAAAAAAAAAGAACGAGCTAGGAGAGAATTGAGAGCACTTTTTCCATTGTTGACTTCTGCACTGATTCTGCTTTTTCTCTTATCACCAATTGTCGGAGAGGAAACCCCAGAGGAAAAGGCTGGAATTCACATGAGATGGATCGATGTTAATTCTTATGCCTCTCTCAAAACCGATGGCCATGAGAATTAGGGAGGTGGAGGGGTTGGACTAGAAGACCTCCAAGGTCCCTTCCATCTCTGTTATTAAACCAGACATCACATTCAGTGGCACTATAATCATTAAACACCATGCCTTAGTTGCCCTGCTCATTGGCCACTTTGTGGAAACAGGAAGTTTTGGATGAGTTTGATCTCTAATTTATGTTTTCTAGTTATTAAGAAAGCATCAGATTTCAAGTGGCTAAAGAAGGCAAATCTGCAAGAGCCGATTTCAAAGAACAGGAAATCAATAGCTAGCAAAAGCTCTACAACCCACAAGAAGCTGCGAAAGTCTCAGACAATAATAAAATTGTCAACCAGCCTCCTCAGACGGGAGCCAACCAGAGGCTGAATTCTCAGCCAAATTGGCCAAAGGCTGATGGGTAGCAGAGGATAAAATGAACACAAGGGCCACGATGGATGGAGTCTCTCTCGGTGGAAAAGAGCAGGAAGGAATAATCCTGTTACTGCAGTTGCAGTCAATTTGCCAGTGGCTGGAACTAAATTTAATGGAGCCTTTGGCCAATGCTGCTGCTGCTGCTGCCATTTTTAATCCAATCAGCCCGAGTTAAGATGCAGGACTTTTCTCCAAGCAAAATTATTTCTCATAGAGGAATTCCAAAGCAAGATCTTCCTGGAAAATCTGTTAGACAGGCTTAGGATGTGAAGGCAATCACTGTCAGCAGGAGGGCAACTGAACGAAAGCCAACCAAAGAAGGTCAAGGAGGGGAGAGGAATTATTAGAAGGACTCAGGGCTCCTGTTGGAATAAGCCAATTCATCCTTAGAGATAGAATGGAGCCCTAAATACACAATGGAACCTGGGGGAAACATGTGAATGCTCTGTGACATTAGACCTATGTTGACTCGGATCCTATAAAAAAATCATATCTGCCCACTGCAGGTTCAACGTTTGAAGACTTTATTCATCATAGGCAATGAACCAAGTGGACACTTAGGAGCTTTTGGATAGGAAGGAATGGACTTCCTGATTGAAAGATTCTTCTCCAACCGTCAGGTGTACTCCACGTGGGACTTTTTCCTCCATTTTGTCCATTTTGCCTTGCTTCTTAAACTTGCCTCCTGTTCTGCTTCCATTTTTATTTTGAACCTGTGATGGCCATCTTATTTCAGGGTTGCTGCTTTCAGGATCCTGGGCTGGCACATTGATCCCCATTTTTTGTATGATTGAAGTTAAGTCTAAATCACTCAGAGGTCCCCAGTAATGCATGGAGGAAAGTGGAGAGGAGAATTCAGGAGGAGAACATAATTCTACCTTTCTCCCTTGGTTCCCCTGACACTCCTTGAGGACTTGTGTCTTGAAGAGCAAAGCAATTTCTCATCCTGCTGAGAAAGGCAGTTGGGCATTTGGAGACGATAAACGGCTGCTTGGCTCTCACTGAGCTGGGAAAATATAATAATATTCCCCTCTCCTGCCTGTGATTAAATCCCCTCTCTGGGTCATCTTTCTTAGCTCAAGCAGGTAAGGCTCCAAGTCCATTTCCATACGACTTCATAAAAGCTTCTTGATGAAATGTGATATGATGGGTTTTATTTCTGAGATGGAAACGGGACATAACTCTTGCTGAAAACTCAAACTGTGCCATGGATTTGTCTTAGAGAGATGTCAGAAGAGGGAAAGCATAGCAGCTCTGACCAGGACAAGGAGGAAATGGTTCTTTGAAGGCCACAGAGGTCTTTCAGGGAGTGTAGCTGGGCATTCATCTCCAAGGGATCTTCTTGACGTTGTGACTTTTGCTTTCCTGTGGTGAAAAGCAGACTTCCCAGATTACTGACAATGAACACCACAGCTGTCTGTGAGTTTTGATGAAAATATTTTGACATAAGTCGTCCTGCCTAGAAATTTTTGTATTTGCAGTCATCTTATTTAGAGGGCGTCAGGATGGGAAGCTAGTTATTTGCAGGAACATTTTGAAACAGAATTTTGTTTGACCAATGGCTGAGATAAACCCAACTAAATGGCCAGAAAGTTCATTCATGGCCTGTTATGCCTGCTGAATATGTTTAGGTATTTGGGGTTTCTTACCAGATAGATGATAGATAGATAGATAGATAGATAGATAGATAGATAGATAGATAGATAGATAGATAGATAGATAGATACATAGATAGACAGAACTTTATTGTAATTTTTTTACTGTGGGCACAATGGCATTAATTAAAAATGAAATTTAGATACAAATTTATTTATATCTGTGCCACTGAAATGAATGGCCAGTGTATAAAGTGTCATGATGATACAATCAGGCCGTTCATAAATAAGGAGCTGCAACCAAACTTGTCCCAGACATCACTGGGGTCTGTGGAGTCACACAACAACCCCCCCAGCCTCCGTAGACCCTTACCTCAGCTTGGAAACCTTCCACCAGGATGGCGACCAAGAGGTTGAAGAGGACATAGTTGCCAAAGGTCATCAGAGCCACAAAGTAGAGAGCAGCCCAGGAGGAGGTGGAGGCCATTCCGTTGTAGAGGACCACATTCCAGTCTTCCTGGGTCAGGATCTGAAAGACGCAGATGGGGCAAGGAGAACATCTGAACCCACTTCTCTCTTTCCTGCTTTTGCTTTGCTTTTCCATGCTTGATTAGAGCTTCCAAGTGGTCTTACATGGACAGTCCTTTTGCTATAGTATCCTCTGCCTGCTGCATAGCTCCACCACTCTGTGTGTTTCCAAGGAAAGGAGCTGGTAAGAAGTTACAAGACCTCCCTTGCTGAATGATTGTTGAATGGAGTCCCCTTTTGTGCACGTTCAGAAAACGTGCAAGATCAGATTGATGGTGGGATCCAGTGCTTTTTTTGTAAAAAAAAAAAAGGTGCAGGAACTCACACATGTCATACAACCCGTCTTGCCTACCCTATAAGGTTCCATCCAAAAAAGGTGCCGGAACTCCATTCTGGGCGTTCTATGAAAAAAGCCCTGGTGGGATCCATCTAGTTAGCAGCTTTCTCCCAGGAATGAAGACTCATCAGGACCTTATAGACAGGTTCCTGTCCTCCCAGGAACATCTCTCACTATTCCATCAGCTGAGGTTGAAGTGAGACACCAAAGACCAACTCCATTTTCTGGATGGATCTAATGGCCAGAAGCTCCTCCCCTTCCCAAACTCTCTCCCCTCTTATTGGCAGCTCATCTGCCGGTCAGTGGCTGAGATAAACCTTCTCTTATTAGCCTCCTGCTATTGACTAAACCGGGACCAGATCTGATTGCCACCCATCCTTCCCAGAAGTAACTTCAGAGACTTCTATTTTGTGGAAGCATCGCAAGTAAAAGTACATCCGATTCTATGCCCAGAGTCATTTTTTTCCTTTTTTTTCCTGCATGTCTTTTTTCCTGCTGACTCACCACATTTGCTGAAATTGTGAGCCATTGATCATAAACGCAAATGAGGGCTTTCCGTTACGAGCAGAGATAAAGAAACTTTTTGCAGGAGCAACATGTTCTTTGTCTCTATTCAAAATAGCAAGGATTTTGTGCCTGTTAGCAAATTAGATCAGTTTTGTTTATAGGTCAGTCTTCTTCCTGTTGGCAGGTATGGAAGGTGACCGAGAATAAGGCAGGAACCGAGCTCTAGAAAGCACAAGCCTTTCCCTCTAAACTTAATCTTAACCAAGATAACTGTTTTCAAATCCATCCTGGAGCAGGAAGTGAGCCTTGTTTTCACCCAGCCCCCTTGGACTTGACAGAGTAAAGCAGCTTCCAGTGACCTTGACGAGAAGCATCAAATTCAGCTCCAGTCTTTTTTGCACCTAATTTAGTTAATTACAAGACTTTGCTAGGAAAACAGCACCAGCCTCTCTATTAGACGGACACAGTGACAACATAAATGACACAAAGCTGCTGTCAGAGTCTTCCAGCAGTCAATTATTTAATCCTTGGCGGTTGTTTATCTATTTCAGGGGGCCTGAAAGGGAGAGAAACTCAGCATTTCCCTACTTTCCAGACAATTTTCAAGTGGTTTTAATCTTCCAAAGCGACATTTTCAAAACTCGGCCACTTTAAGATGGGTGGACTTCAACTCCCAGAATTCTCCAGCCAGCACGTAATTTGTAATGCTGACCTACATATTGGAGGTTTGGAGAGAACAGGCTGCAAAAGGTGCATCTTTGTAATGTTTTGTACAGTTCCTTGTACAAAATGGGCAGCTCAAGGACCTCACCTGAAACACGGTGACAATTGCCCACAGCAAGGAATCAAAGTTCTTTCGGTCTGGCAGGGTGTCTCCTGTCTCTGTCCTTAAGCCGAACTTGCACCCAAAAAGATGCATACCCAGGATGCTGTGAAGGGGAAGGGCAAGGAAAGAGAGGGAAAGAGAGAAAAGATGGTTGAAAAGGCAACAGAGTATTTGAAAAAGTCCCGGCTCCTGTTTCATCTAAAATAACCCAGGTTGGATAACAGAAAAAGGTGACTTTTTTGGGTAATCACAGAGGAAGAGATAATTTTGCAATTGTATTTATGTTTTCTGCAAAGTAAATCAGAATCTCTCCTCTCCTTTCCATTCTTTATTAGTTTGTGTTAGTTTTTATGCAATTTATAAAACTTTAATCAAAAAATGGTAATAATGGCATAACTCAGGTCGTTGTTCCTTTTCCAGGTTGTCGGCTAGAAAAGATGAGTTCAGTAGCACTGTCTTCTCCAACCTGGATCCCACCAGGGCCAGGAGGAATAACATTCCCAGCATTTCCTGACAGGATGATGGAAGACCGAGTATGACTGAGTATGAGAGAGCTGGGCCTCCCCCATACCCCGAAGGCACCAGATTGGAGAAACACGAAGGGAGTCAGAATTAGCCTCTTTGTCCACCTGAAGTCTGCAAAAACATATTTGATTTTTTTTTCTAGAAAAGCTTCACAGATTGCAAAACTCTTCCACCCCTTTGAAGAATATTGTACTTGATGTACATTTCTGACTTTTCATGGGGTCTGTATCAACTCTTGCCTTACTTGGAGAGGAGCTGTCCTTGGTCTCCGATGCAGGCGTCTCACTGTTGTTTGCCAACTATCACAAACAAAGGAGGAGACACTGTTTTGTCATGCTTGTCGCTTTGCATCTTTCATTTGTCTCCTGGGTGGCAGGATGCAGAAGGAATGAGGTGGCCCAGGAGACATTGATCTGCAGAGTGCCAGCCTGTCACTTTGTGGAGAGGCCATGTTTATTCCCAAGTGTTGGGCAAATGGGATCCTTGTCATTGTAATTGGTGCAGCACCGAGAGGAACAAAACAGCCAGTTAACTAGGCAAGACAGGAGATGCGCCCAATGAAACCTACCTGAAGATGAAGATAAAAAGCATGAGCAGCATGCAGAAGGTGGCCACGTTGTCCATGGTCTTCATGAGAACCACCAACTGCCGGCGGAGAGCCGGCATGAACCGCACCAGCTTGAGGACCCGGAGGAGACGGAAGGTCCTCAGCACCGAAAGACCCCCGTCGGCCTGGCCAATGATCTCCCAGACACTGCAGGATGGAGACAGAGATTCAGGCAACTTGGGCTGTCCAGCTCCTGAACAACCGTCAACTTCCTAATTGTCCCTGATGGCAGAGACGGCCTGGGAGCAGGGCTGCTTTTTTTGGCACATTGGCAGATAATGAAGTTGGACCCATAGAATGTTTTTTTTCATACTTGAGCATTTGGTGGTCAAAAGAGGGAGATGTAAATGTACATTCTCTTACATCCCCTCCCCTCCCAGCTCCTCTGTAGATGTGGCCAAGTCAGCACATCTTCCCCCAAGAAATTTGGGGAGGTGGCCCCAGGGAATACAGGCACCAGAAGTGGAATATTACTTCCCCAAGATTTGCTGCAGTGTTAAAAAAGATAAGCAAGCAAGGACATTCAGCTGGCAGGCAATCTCCCTCCCTCCCTCTCTCCCCCTGCCCCAGTTTTAAGAAGAAGGAACGATGTGTGAAGGATTCTTCTGAGGCCACGTTAGAAGCCAACTTACCTGATGACAACAATGATGCCATCAAAAATGTTGTAGGGGTTCTTGATGTATCCCCAGATGCCAAAAGCCAAAAGCTTGAGCAGCATCTCCAGAGCAAACATGCTGGTGAAGACAATGTTACTAATCTCCAGGGCATTGGTGAGCTCATCCGGCTGGGCAAGAGGGAGAAACAAAGGTAATCCAGGTCAGAATGGAGGCCAAAATATTTCCCTTGGCTATTTCTAACTTCTAGTTGCAGTTGAAGCAGAATTTGACAATGACAATGTTGTCTTGCTCCATCACGACTGTCAAGCTGAGTTGTTTTCCTGACCCTGTGACCACAGGGATTGTTATGACAATGGAAAACAGGGCGACGGGATGCAAAATATGGAAAAGTAATAATTGCAGATGAAGTATCAAACAAGATAGGATCAGCAATTTAGATCTGCCTGAAATGCACATCTATTAGTTCAATTGCAAATATCAGCAATCCAGAAGGAAGATTTTAGTGCATCTATATTATCTATGTCTGTCTATCATCTATATCGTCTATCGTCTGTCATCTCTCTCTGTCTCTCTCTCTCTCGCATGTATCTCCTCTGACTGCTTTTTGGGGGCTTCCCAAAGTCTCCCCACACTACCCACCCTTAGCAACTCCACTGTTGAGAATCAATGGTCAGCTTTCCCACCATTTCAAGATGAGGAAGGCTGTTCAATAAACTGAAGGAAACACCCTCCCCCCTGGTTCTCCCCTCCAAAATCCAGAAACAGATGAAAAAGACTGGGCTTGCCCACCTGACCCATCATCCTCTGTGCTTTTGCTCCAAAGAGTCCAGCAGTGAAACCCTCAACCTGTCCCACACCTCACACATTAAATAGTTCCTCTCCTGTGCACACAATGGCAAAAATATTGGTGCCGAGAACAGGATTCCAAGGATGGAGGCAATTTAATGTCGCAAGTAGATCAAAGGTACCATTTCAGTAGTTTTAGCAGAATTGGGCAGAAAACAGGTGGAACCATACCAAGAAGGGAGAACATTTCCAGTGCTAGAAACTCTTTCCCCCATTCTTATGAATCCATCTTTAGCACAAACATCTGCAACGAATGTGCTGTATGTATAATCTTAGTCTGGAAGCGCTGTGAAGCAACCACGTTTAAAACTTCCTTTCTCAACCCAACACACAATCTTGCCTTCCCACAGCCTTTCAGACCAGTTTATTTATTCATAGAATACTTTTTCAGCCAGAATGCATGAAATATGAATTGCAGCAAGGGACATGACAAGCCACAAGGAGTCAACAAAGAAAGACCGGCTGGGTTGGAAAAACATTCCTCCCCTATCTTATCCTTGGTTTCCAAGCAACTCTTAAATGTTGCATTGAAAGTGATCTAATCCACTCAACCTGACTGTTGATGACAACTTGAACTAATTACGGAAGCTAACCAGATCCACGAGCAAGGACTTTCGCGAGCAAGGACTTTCGCAATCTCTTCCCTTGTGCTATGTGCAAGACAAGAAGGTGAGTATGGAAAGACAGAGAAAGTTTCCTGAAGGTCTGATTAATTTGCAGAAAAAGACCACCTGGAGTGGGAAGAAAACCATTTTTTTTCTACAACTTCATGCAAATGTCCCCCTGTCTACTTTGCTCTTCGGCTCTGGTCTGTGTCCCAGCTGAAATGTTAGGCACCTCTGCAACCCCAAATTTGCAATGTGGTCTCAGTGATACAAAAATATGAATATTTGGGGAAATAACGTATGAAAAAACCCAGCGGATAGGGAAATGCCTTAGAAAGATAAATATTTATTTTGTTCAGAAGTTGGATGCGATGGAGATCCGAACGCTTAAGGTTATGCTCACCGCCAAGAAAGGGGCTGATTTATTCTTCTTTAGGACTATCTAATCTTCATTTCTCTTAGCTAATTTCCTAAGATGATGGCGGTCTCTTCCATCATCTCCTGCTCAGGAACCCCAAGCAGAAAAGGGAATTTATTGAAAAAAAAAATGCCCTCTCTTTCCGTGTTCATCATCCACAAAGCAGCATGTTGAGAACCACATTGGTCAAGAGCTGAGAAGTGTGGGAATTATAACAGACAATGCCCAGCTGAGAGAGGAAAAATAAAGGCTCAATTTGAGATGTCATGTAGCTGTCAAAATGACAAGACAACAATCCCAGATTCAACAGAAGTGGAGAAGGGTTCATTGTAGGCTTTTTTTTTTTTTTTTGCAAGACAGTGAGGTTGTTTTACAAGAAGAGCTTGCATCTCCACCCCACCTTTCTGCATGTAGGGAGGCAGCCTCTTCTTGTAAAACAGCCAGACTTCCTTGCATTAAGAACAAGCTTAGATGATTGTATGATGTGTTTGGTAGAGTTTCAAGCCTGGAAAAGAGGCTTCCAAACACTCCATGGAATTGCAGCCTGGGACCCGTTTCTCCTTACAGACAAAAGAGGAGTGATTATGGGGACAATTCACCCTAATTAGCCTGGGACAAGCAACATAGGAGAAGGAACTCCACGAGTGTCAATCTGTTTGGAGGAGACGCACAGCAGTGACCAGGATAGCTACTCCTCTTGGTGGAAATGCCAGAAGAAGTAAATTGCAAGAGGGATGAGCATGCAAAACCAACAATGGAGTAAGTCAGGGTTGGGAACTTTAAGATGTGTGGACTTCAGCTCCTGTTCTAGGCAAAAGAGATAATCAACAAGGCCAGAAGGGAACAAAAAGAACTCAATACCTCCCCACCAGCAATCAGCACCGAGATGAGCATAGATTAACTCCAAGATTAACATCAGACCAACCATCAAGAAGTAAACAATAGCCCAATCAAGGAACTGCCAAACAAGCCAACAGTGAAGGGCCCAAAGATCCCCTAAGACCACCCACCAGCACTGATAGGGCCAGCCACTAGAACAGAAATGGAGAGCAAAGCCCATTCCTTACTAGCACCAATGATGTCAGCTAGTTTGGGTAATGAAACAACCAAGCTGAGAGAGCACCAAGGGCCCCTCATTTCAACCCTGAGCCACAAATATTCTCCTTCCTTGGAGTCAGGCTGCGTCCGGAGACAAACCTCTGCTACAAGGAGAATCGGGTGACCCGCTCAAGGGAATGGATCTCTAGCAATGTGTCCCATCCTGGGATCTAAGGAGGAAAATCAGTGTACAGGCATCACCCTAGAACAGGGGTCCCCAACCTTTTGGGCACCAGGGACTGGTTCTGTGGAGAGGGGGGTTTCCACAGACCGGAGTGTGCGTGGTTTTGCCTTTGCTTGTTTGTGCTGACTGGTTGCTGGCAGGCTGTGGCCCAGTACTGGTCCATGGACCGGGGGTTGGGGACCCCTGCCCCAGAATATGTTCACCCATTCGTCTTCTTCTCACAAGGACACACAATCGTCCTTGTGGTAGGAATTTTGTGTAGACCAGGATGCTAAAGGAGACCCTAAAGCAGGATTTCCCTAGCCTGGTTGAGTTCTGTGATGGATGTTATGGGCTATAAAAGCCTTTGCTTGCCTCCCATTGAACTTCTGCAGCTACATGAGTGGCCACAGTGCAGATTAAACCTTTTACTTAACTCATGAGCTCTGCAATCTCTCCCATGACTAATCTCTTTAGCTAATGAATTACTATCTGGCTACCATATTAGATTCCAGTGCATGCACATCATTAAGGAAGTAAGTGCTTGACAGAACCCTTCTTTAAAAATAAATAAATAAATAAATAAATACAAATACAGGAGATTAGAAACAGGGCTCAGGTAGGATTAACTAAGCCCCCTCCCAGCCCAGCCCAGCCCACCCCACCCTAGCTCTCTTCCAATTGCTGGAAATCCTTTAAAAGGGTTCCCACCGTTGGGTGGGTGAGAAGCTGAATTAATGATCTGGTTTTAAAAGAAGGAGGCAGGGCTTTTAAGCACTGCTTAGCCCCCAGTCAGATCCTAGAATCACAGAGCATGCTAAAAAAAAACTGAAAAGAAAGGGGAACAAATTCAATAATTTGATCTAGCATTGATTGAGGCCCAGAATGGCAAGTGGCATTTGCTTGCAGATGCCACTTTTGGAGTTTCAAAGCTCCTTGCTCTAGGAAAGAGAGGTAATCCTCTTGAACAGGGTTCACTAAACATGGCAACTTTTCCAGCATGGAAAATTCTGGGAGCTGAAGTCCACAAGTCTTAAAGTCACAAAGTCTGGAGATGCCTGGTCTTGAATACGGGGTCTGATTTCCACCTAGGATGGCAGTTTGGGTGAACCAGTTGCCTCCTCGCACTCCTGTCCCTTTAACTTGGGGAGGAACCAATGGGGATCCTGTGGGGACAGCCCTCCCTCCTTAAGGCAGACTTCCTAGCCTCACTTAGGACTCCCAGCAAAGGTATGGAGGTTCTGCTGTTCCCATTTCTCAGCCTCACTTGACAAAAAGCAATTTTATTTCAAGTGGCTTAAATGCCAGGCTAGATTAGATCAATTGCCATCTCCCCCAAGGGGAAGGAAGAGTCGGGAGAGACTTTCAGGAGATGCGGCTACCTGAAGCTTCTCTTTCTGGAGAACAGAAGCTAAATCGGGGCTGTCCAATTCCCCAAATTCCCCATCGGCAGCCTCGCCTCCTTCCCGTCTTTTCTTTCATTGCCTTTACCCAGAACTCCACCGTGTCCGTGTTTGCATTAACCTGCGTATCGGCTTAAAGGAGGACATCTACAGAAAGACTCGCAGTTTCTCTGGATCTGGGAAGATTTGGGGAGTGGAAATGCAAACCACCCTCTTGCTGGGATCCATTTCGCAAGCGGCCTCTGAGATCCAAGATTATGGACAAAGAGAAAAACTCAGTTTGATTCAGAGGATTTAATAAAGATTTATGAGGTCTGCAAGTTGTCCTTTAAAAGAAAGAAAGAAAAAAAGAAAGAAAGCCCCAAATCCAAATATTTTGGCCTTTGCAGGAAAGAAATTCCAATCCTCAGACCATTGGCTTTCTCTTTTCTGCACTGTTTCCAAAAAGGAAGAAGGGGGGGGGATTCAGAATCACTGCTTGCTCTTTGCAGCATGTTGAGGCAATAACTTTGGTCGACCAACAGCGAGATCAAAAGCCCTCCTGGTTCCCGTTGTTGACTCTTCCAACTTCCAGGGTGCTGGAAATGTTTAATCGAGCAGGGAGGCCACAGAGATCCCTTTGGCCAGGCCGTTACTCATCCAGAGGAAGAGACTTTTATGGAGATTCTTTCTGGCAAGGGCTGCTCGGTGGCGGGTGGGACAAAAAGCGGGGGGGGGGGGGGAGGCTGAAACTGATGCCGTGCCAGAACAAAGGCTTCCTTGGTTCAAGCAGCCCATCAATCAGAGAGGAGGTCAAGGAAACACTGGAAAAGTCAACTGCCCACGAATGAAGGGGAAGGGGGGATGGAGAAGGACCTGTTGAGGAATGAACTTCATAGAATGACAGAATTGGAAGGGACCTTGGAGGTCATCTAGTCCAACCCCCTGCTCAAGCAAGAGAGTCTATACCATTTCAGACAAATGGCTGTCCAGTCTCTTCTTAAAAACCTCCAGTGATGAAGCACCCACAACTTCTGAAGACCCAGAAGTAACCCAGAACGGCTGTTACTTCATTTAGCAGAAACTTTCCTTAATTTTTCTTGAGGCTCTATACTATAAATAAATAAGCAGCCATGGAAAATCAGACCGGTTTTAGAAAGCATGGACTCAGCCACAAAAAAAGTATACCTATCCATCTGTGTTTCATATTTGATTTCAATAACCCATGATTAGTATTTGTAAGCATGTTATGGATCCTCAAATAAAGGGAGGCCTGATCTGAAGGAGAAGGAAGGAAGGAAGGGAGGAAGGAAGGAAGGAAGGAAGGAAGGAAGGAAGGAAGGAAGGAAGGAAGGAAGGAAGGAAGGAAGGAAGGAAGGATATTCAGTCCTAAGGTGATCTCAAGGACATGATGAAGGCCTTTTTCAACCTCCATCACAACTTCTATTAAGAGTAAAGAAGCTGGTATGATCTGAGAGATCCATTTGCAATTAATCCGAGCTGATAAGGCTGAGCTGGAAGGATCTGGTTGGGATCTGTGTTAGATAACCCCCTCTGCTCTTGGACCCCCTTCCTGGAGTGCCACCTCCTTTCACCCACATCATCAAGGCCCAGGGAGCAATCTTGCATTCTAAACCAGCGGATGGCATTCCCATGGAAGCCTGTGCCACACCTGGGACCAGGTTACCAATAGATCTGTCATCGCTGCTGAGCCACCTCATCCTTGGTTGATCGCTCCAATCAATTACAATTGGATCAAAGCAAAAATGATGAGAGTCCACAGGCGAGCAGTTGCATCTCAAGACCCTGGCTTGCCAAGTAAAATTCTCCATTTCCACAACCTCCTTCTTCCTTCCAATTTGCTGAATTAAATTAAACCAGATTACATTACATTTCATTAATTCAATTTAGGCCCTGCCCAACTCTAAACTAACTCTGAGTGATGTCCTATGGAACCAGACAGAGTAGAAAATACAATGCAATCATTTTGAAAGAAATAAAAGAAATGGAAGAACAGTTGCTTCCTTCCTTTGGAGAAATCGGCAAGTGGGCCGGAAGAAAAGAATCGGCTTTCTGGCATTTGGTGCCTCCAAAGACTTAGCTTGCTCAAGGGCCTGAGGGCAAACATCTCAGGCTTATGCATCCCACGGCCCACTCCCTAAAGAAAAGCAGGGGGGATTCAAAGTGGGAAAAATAACTGCTGGTGAGTTCAATACCCTTGTCCATCTCTGAGCTTGTGCAAAAGTCTTGTGTTAAGTAGACATTTGGTTGTGGGAGGCTGCACAGAAGCTGTTTTGGAGCAACCATATGAGGACTCCTAGCCAGAGACTAATTATTGGATCATTAACCTGATATGAAGCTCAGTGAAAAGGAATTCTGAGTTTTGAAAAATGTCCCACTTGCCTTTCAGGAAGTGTGGGATTCATATAGGCACCAGTTCCCCCCTCTTATTTCAGCCCCACATTAACCCGGTGAGTAGGGTATTCTGTGAGAGAAGAGACAGGACCAGCATCCTCCACCCAGCTTCTGAGGGTAAGGGTGGACTTCAAGCAGGTCTCCTCAGTCCCCGTTCACCACTTTAACTTCTTCCCTTCTTGCACAGACTCTTTGCCTTCTTGTGCCTTCTCTCCCCCAACTGGCTTTGCCTCCAGTGAGGTCTACAGAAGACCCAAACTGGCTGGTTACTCAAGACAGCGCTATCCCATCATTCATTCTCTGATAGGTTGGCCTCATCTCTGCACCTCATCCGGGAAAGATAAACGGGTAGGAAACAGAGCGGCAGATATCCGAAGACTGAAGAAGGGAGGAAGATTTCACGTCATGTGAATTTCAACTCTCTCCCAAAACTCCAGACCACAGGAAGGGCAGCTTTGTCCAGCCACAATGAAGCAGCTGTGCTTCAGGGATGATTCATCCCCTTCCAGCCAGCTGTCCTTCACGAGATGCCAGCAGCTGGGACATGGTGTCTTCACCTTTTGGATGTGCTCTTTAATACCAGTGTTCCCAACCTTAGTGTGAACAATCTGGATTTCTCTTCCCCTGAAATTTTTAAAAAGATGAAGGTCTTCTCAGACCCAGGAAAAGCAAATGATTCATTTTCCTCCGTAAGACCTTATGAATGATTCTTCTGGAACAGTTGCTGATCTTGACACACAACTGTGAGGTGGAGACACTAATCAAAGGAGGAACGACTGCATGGATTAATTTTGATTAGCTTAATATGCCTGAGATCCATAGAACTATTTCCAAATCCCACATTTTTCTCAGGCCAGGTACCCCTCAAAACTAGGATCTGGGGATATGTGAATCAACGTATTCAAGGATCAGAGGGCTGATTCAAGTTGGATTTGCAGGTCACACTAACCATGTTTCACTGAACAAACTGCAGTCAGTTGGGTTTACAGCACATGCAAAGCCAAAAATAAGCCAACACATGATGAGTCCTGGGGTGGGGTTCAAAGTAAAGTTGCTATATTTTTGAAACCGCCATTCCCAACACAACCAAAAGTGCTTCAACCTTTCTGGTCTGAGTCCCCCACCCTTACAAAAATGTGTTGCCCAGGTGATCCTCCTCTTAAGCAAGACTAAGAATATGTGGGTTCTTTAAGTAGGAGATCAGACAACGGCCTCTCCTGAGTTTGGCCAGTTAAGCCAACATACCTCCTTACCTGTTCATGATACTCAATGCCCATGCTCAGCGTGTTGATGAGGATGGCGATCATGATGCCACGGTTGAAATACTTGCTCTCCACGATCCGTTTTAGCTTGTTGCCAAAGGCCTTCCAGACCTTGGTTAGCTTGTTCCTCTCCTTGGCTGGTTTCCTTTTCTTCTTTTTCTTGTTCCTCTGCTGCTGGATCTGGTCTCGGAAGTCCCCATGCTTTACATCCTGGGTGAACTCGTAGATCCCATTGTTGTCCTCTCCTGACTCATAGCTGTCTGCCTCGCTGAACTCAAACTCAGGATCCTCAAGGATGCTGGCACAGAATGGGCAGTTTTGCAGCTCACAGCTCAAAGTGTTGGCTTGAGGCCCAGGCAAGGGACATGGCACGTTCAGGCCAGACAGAATGCTGGAGGTCCGGCAGAGGCCTGCAAGGTAAGGAGAGTGTTATGAACTTGAGGACATGGGTAGGTCCAACAGAAACCAAACCACAGCTACCAATTTAGTAAGGAGCAACCCTATGAAGTGCCTTTAATTCATTTTGGAATTTAAATTTAAACATCTACTTTGGGGGGTTTGGTCTTCTTGTGTCTACTCCGTGCCAAGGGCATGAAAGTGGAGGATAGACAATGTCGTATTGTTCCGATGACAGTGGAGGTTAGTGGCTTTCAAATGTTTGGAGTAAATAGTAGAAACTCCAGATTCAGAGGTGATCTAGGGTTGTGGGATTGAGCCTGGACAAGATCTCTGTACCAGCAGAGATCTTCTACTGGGCTTTTATTCCTAACCTCTTTTGATCTCCGCGCTGGATGCTAAGTCTAAATTAGGCCACTGAAGCCATTTTTCTTACCACGTTCTCCCACCAGATGATGGAGCTTCCCATAACAATCTGCATTTAGATGGGCTGGGCTGCTGACCATGGGCATGGGAGAGGTCACCTCACTGCCCTCGTTTTTCTTCCCTTTGGTCAAGGGAGGGACACTGGCTTTGTTTGCCGGAGAAGGCAAGATGGTGGGGTAGTTCATGCTGCCACGATTGGCAGCTTTGCTACCTGCAGCAATGCTGGAAGACTTGCATTTCACTGAGGTTCCTTCCACGTGGCAGTCTGCATGGTAAATACTGTGGATGGACTCCGTATCTGCAGCTCTACCACCTGGATGGCTGGGTGAAGGTGGAGGAAGCATCAGTTGGCCTCCAGGCTTTATGACGTCCAGCTCCAGGTCACAAATCCCTGGGTTGGACCTTGGCCCTTGGGGGCTCCCGTTGCCAATGTGGTAGTGGTGATGGTGGTGGTGATGGTGGTGGTGGATCAAGTGATGGATGGACGTGATGCGTCGCTTGCCGCTCTGCTGGCCCTGACCATTGTCTCCACCACTGTTGGGGTTGACTTTTTTCCGACGCTTGCTCTGCCAGTTGTTGTACAGGCGCAAGGTCCGCCGTTTGACTTTCCTGAAAATGTGGCAAATGTATTTGAGGAGCTCTTCATAGCAGCTTCCCGGCTCGGAGAAGCTGGCAATTGTGCTGTCATTAGAGAGGTAGCGGGCTCGCTGCTCTTGCATCAGCTGGTTCTCCCGCTGTTTGGTTTCAGAAAACTGTGTTGCTATCACAACCAGGCACAGGTTAATCATGAAGAAAGAACCAACCTGGGAGAGCCGAAAGAAGACAGAGAGCACTTGAAGACCAAGGCGAGTGGCCGTGCTCACCCCACACCCATCGAAGGACACATGGCTGCGCTGGCACACACCATGCACAGCTTGGCTAAAGTTAACCTCGGTCCACGCTTCACGACCGGGTGTGTTGGGCTGCCCTAACAGGAATGGGCAAACAAGGAAATAGAGTGACGCAAGGAAAGGGCCTATGGAGATTCTCATCCAGGTCTTGGTCGTCCCAAAGGTGCTTTCTTAAATTTTGCCTTGAAGACATTTCGCTTCTCATCCAAGAAGCTTCGGAATTGAAGAAGCTTCTTTGAATGAGAAGTGAAATGACTTCAATGAAAAACAAAGAAAGTCCAGTTGCCTTTTGGAAAAGCACCTTTGGGACATCCAGGAAAATCCTTTCTACTGAAACACGACCCATCCTCCTTAAATAGTCTGAAATCAGCCCCCCCCCCATTGGCTTCTATTCCTATCTCTAGTATATCCCAGAAGTCAAATAAATGTGCCCTCCCCCATTCCCCAAATGTCACTCTATATCATCAGATTTGCATCTTGGTGGTCCTCCTCAGAAGTTGCTCCATTCTCCTTTTGGAACTGTGGTGCCCACCCCAGGAGACAGGCCTCCAAGGGCCTGGCCAAGGCAGAACTAGGGCTAAGCTGGCCACCCAGGGAAAATAGGTCCTTTTCTGGACAAACGTGCTAAGATGTGTGGAGCCAGGAGGAGTCTGAGATGCTGCCAGGAAAGTCCCGCCTGCTTCTCTCCTTCTCTCTTGTGCTGCTCCTCTGATGTGAAAGAACTTCCCTCTTAGCTTCTTAATGTAAACCACCATGACGGAAAGCTTAATGCAGACATAATGTGTGTGTCTCTCTGTGTGTGTTATTGCTAGTGGAAGTTGTTAATGGCCCACTTGGCATATTTTACATGGGTTGGAACCTTGGATGTGCTTCAAACAAGCTGCTACCACTCAAAGTGTTGAGAGTAGACTTTCAGGAATTACAACATTTATCCATTGAGGACTGTACTGTGCACGTCTTGGTGGTGGGAAGCTTGGTTTTGGAATTTGGGGATGGGCTAGCAGTGAGGACATTTAGACTTGGGAGAGGTTTGCAGCTTTCCACAGCCACAGCAGATGTTAGGTGGAGATCATTTACCTGGACAGAAAGGGTGGTTAAAAAAAAAAAATTGTACAGTCATTGCCACCATCTTGAATTTTGGATTGCCCCAACCATGCAGAAGCCCTAATCTCAAAGGATCCTTTGCCTGGTCCCTCATCCTGGTGAGATCCCCTTTGTTAAGAACCACAGTGTTAATCTGAAGTGACAGCCCCCATACTTACTATTATAAGTAGTATAAAATATATAAAATTGTAAAAAGAATGTGCGTCCATAACATAATACATGATGTCAACCCATCCTTCCAGGGTTATAACCTGTAGGGGAAGCAGAGATGAGATAAATGCATTAACAGCATCACCAGAAACAAGTTAAGAAGCAGAAAACCCAGGAAGTGTGTGGATATTTCCTCCCCTCCAGTCTCTTCTGAATTCTTCTCCTTTCTGTTCTTTCAACTGCTCTCTCTCTCCCTCACCCACCCTTCAACATTTATTCAGCTCACACAGAGTCCTTGTGAGCACCCAGAGCTGGAGGACACAAACAACAGCAACTCCATCACCCTCAAGTGAAGGAAAACAGAGCTTTGCTGAAGATGGATGGGTGGATCATTTCCTCCCCTCGTTGTTTTGATGGGCATTTGAGCTGGCAGAAGGGGAAACAAGGACAGGGATCTCTCTGATTTGTCACTTTCAGAACTTTCCCCTGGATCAACTTGCTTCCCCTGCACAGTCTGTTGATTGCACAAGTTGCCAACTTCATTCCCTATCCAATGGTTACTCTCCATCAAAATGAAGCCCCGTCCATCCCTAAACCCAGTAAGCTGAAAATTTAACTTTTTTCAAAAATAAAAGTGAGGATGTGGGCTGCCCATTAAGGCCTCACCTCCTGCCTTCCATAAGATTTATCTGCTCTAGCAAACTCTTTGTTCTCCTGCAAAACTCCAAGTTCTGAAGTTTAATCGGATGCCCCGTTCACTGCTGTTCCGAGACAGGGAGAACCCAAACAGATTATCCAAACTGATACCAACTTAAGAAAGAGAAGTATAAAAGTTAACATCAAAGTCTCTTTCTGGTTAATTATACTTGTGTGCGCACAGGCACACAGAGGGGCAGGGCTGGTTTGTTAAGATTTGCTGATGGAAATTTTGGAATACTCTTTCTTTGTGGGGCTGTCATTGCAATAATGAAAGCTCTTCTGTTTCCCCAAATTTGCCCCGTGTTTCCTTCCAGGACGCGTTTTTCTTAATTTTGATGGAAGTCAAAACTTGGAAGCATTGAACTAAGAAGAACAACGATATTGTAAGACCTTCAGACCAATCTTTGGAGAAGCTGAGCTATGATAAACAATTGGGAACTGGGGAGGGATATATTTCCATTTTAAATGCTTTCGTGGGTCAAAATCAACCTATGTGAAGAAAGGCAAAAAAAAGCAAGGAAGCCCAAGCTGCAAGGAAGGAGTGCTAGCTTTCTACATGCAAGGCTTGGTGTGTTGAAGCAGAAGCTTTCAAGCCTGCGATTCACAAAGTCTCAGGATGGTCATAATTTATTCCACCTCCTTTTTCTGAGTGGAGAATTTAACTTCCACCAAGGCCAGTCCTGGGTTTCAGATCTGATCTCCGTTGCTGAGTCCATAAATGGCCTGAAATACACCGTGAAGGCTTCCTTTTCAGCTACTCAGCAGCGTGCATTAAAGTTGCGTAATTGTCCTTGCTGCTGCCACCGTTAAATGTCTGAACAAGGGGAAGGATGTTTTAATTACACGGTGAAGCCATGGCACACTGCTTAAGCTTCCCATCGTCTTTTTGCTACAGAAGAAAAGAACCAGAGACTTAATTAACACCACAAGAAGCGAGTTGTGCTGGAACCTGCAAGTGGGCATGTCTGAAGGTTGTGGTGAAACAGTCAGGATGGGTCCACAATGGCACATGTACATAAAAGCAGGTGAAGCATCAGTGGCAACATTGTGACCACCATCTTGATTTTTTTTCAACCCTACTTTGCAGACACTCTACTTTGCAGAAGCCAAGGGGAAAGCCACTCCTTAACACAATCCTTGTGCTGATGCAGCCTGGTTGCACAAAGGTTGAAAGGTGGTCCATCTGAATGCTAATTAATAGTGGGGAGGAGACCCACAGAGAAGAACGGGCTCCTTGCTTTTTCCTTGTGGGCTGCCCCAGAAGCATCTGATTAGCCACAATTGGAAACAAGCTGCTGGATTATGTCATTATTTTCATTGATTCATGGCCTTCTCCGTTGGACCTTTCCTGATAACCCATTAACACTTCCCTTATCAACCCCCAAATAGAGAGCCCCGCTTATTCGAAATAATGCCTAATAATGTGAGTTTTAAAACAAGGGCGGCAGGGGAGTGACGGGTAAGAGAGAGAAGAGGCTGAAGGAGGTCTCAGCCTCCATCACATCAAAGTCCTTCTGGCTTGCTGCAAAATTAAAAGATGGAACCCAGCCAGTTGCCCGTCTCCTGTCTTGGCATCTCAACTTGGGAGCAGCTGGGTACCCACGAAGGGTCCTCCTCCTCCTCTGCAGAGCTGTGCTGGGAATCCAGAGCTGGGAGGCATCTTGTAAGGGAAACCGAGGTGCCGCTGGCACGTCTTGGTCCCATGCCAGGGCTTCCCTTCTGTCACCATCCCTCGTCTTCCTTGTCACTCTGCTGGAACAGCTGCAGAAACAGGTGGCTGCTTCTCTCCAGGCACTCCGAAGAAGAACGAGCTGAGGGACCCCCAGAATATTGGAGACGGAAAAGGTTTCCCGGTAGGAAGAGAGCCTCAGAATGGAATTCAGGGAAAGCAAATAAGTGGGAATAAGGCTCTGTGCCAGGGTTCCTCTCCTTTATTCTTTCATGCAGGGGGCGATACCCCATTTCAGGAAAAAAAAATATACAGAGAGAGAATCAGGCGCACAGGGTCCGTTTTGTGGCCAGCAGAAATTCTTCTTCCTACATGGTGGAGCTCCTGGTGCTAACAGAGATGCAATCTAGACCTCTGTTTCAGTTCCTGGCTGGAATATGATTTATGGGCTCTGTTCTCACCAAACACTTTGCAGGTCAGGTCAACATGGAGGAGTTGCATTTCTACAAAACACTTAGCTTTGTTGCAATTATTCTGGTTTGGTCTTTCTTTTTAGAGCTTAGTTGGCTGTTGGTGAGTTTGACGTGAGGTGCAAATCACGCTGAGCAAAGGCAGCATCTGGGCTGGCCAGAGGTTTCCAAGTGCTGTGACCTCTTAAAATGATACATGGGTTTGTGCGATCTTCTCATGAATAAAAGAGATGCTTCCATCGCTTATAGCCCCCCCCCTGGTTTTTTCTTTTGCTTTGAGGCAATCCAGTCACCCTTGGAAAGGGTGCAGGACGTGTGAAGTCAACTCCCAGTTTGGCCCAGAAGTCTAGAAAGGAAACTGTCTCCTCTGGGAGACATGAAAAAATTCCCATTGGAAGAATTATCCTCTTTTATCTTTTCAAGGCTTATTATTTTACTCTGTAAAACATTTCTAATTTTCTGGTTCTAGATCAGGACACATTTTTTCAAAAGGCAAATATCTGAGTTCCTCCCTCCCTCCCTCCCTCCCTCCCTTGAATTTTCTCCAAAGAAACCATCATCCTAACATTGGAATGAAGCTGCTGAGAAGCTGGCCTCTCCATCTCTTGCATGTCAAAAAGCCCAAGGAAAGAAGCACCTCCAGGTGGTTCTAAGGAGGAGATGACTTTCCTAAACTAAAAATGGTGTCCAAACTCTTCGTTTTCTTGATGAAAACTGGTGCAGCAGTGATCCCTCCAGTTTCTCTGTCCACAGAAGTCTGAGAGATGATTTGCCCAGAAACTTCACAGTCCAAAAAACATTGATCAGCTGCAATTGTAGTAATGGAAAATAAATTGTTCTTCATTACATATTCATGAGGCTTGATTTATCATGCTAATTAGCTCCAGCATTTGCTGTGCTGTAGCAGGCAGGAAAATGGAATTCATGGTTTTGTGGCGGTGGGTGCATAAATCCAGCAATCCAGTCCTGGAGATTGGATGGTGGAAAACAAGAAGCCAAGATTTGAAACTGTTTTCTTAGGTCAAGCCCAGCAATGACCAAGAACTGGATAAAGAGCACTTGGCAATATTTCGGGGAGGAAGAGAAGGAGGCTTTCCTTCTGCCCCCAACTGAAACTCATCGTGCAAAAAAACAGAGCCCCTGCCCTGGAGCTCAGCCACAAGATAAGATACCAAAGCCATAAGACTTGAGGTAGCTCCCATAACTTTGCCCTGTTTGCAAATGAAGGAAAAGGGGCAACGAAGAGGAAATACATGGTAAGAAGAGTAAATTTTGGATATCTTTAGGGAAGGCGCTTGATTTCATTCTGAACTCTTGAGTTATAATAAAAGCTAGATTGATGTAGTCCACTGAGTTGTGTAAGGATTAGAGCAATGCTCCCTAGTCTTGGCTACTTACCAATCTGTGGACTTCAACTCCCAGAATTCCCCAATGGAAGCTGAAGCCCGCACGACTGAAAGTTGCCAAGGCTGAGAAACCCTGGATTAGAAGGCGAAGCAGATGTCCTTTGAACACTCAAAGAGTTTTGCGTAATTGGTAAGTGTGAGACCCTCCATTTCACTGGCCTTCAAGACCCGACTGGCAGCAGTTGGCCAAACAGCCAGCATGTGGGCTCTCTGTGGCTACTCATTTTCCCATCCCCAGATGCCAGGGCTCTTTGCCAGGCAAGAAGCTGGCAGATCCAAAACTCTGCTTAGAAGATCAAGGAAGCAAGATGGGGGAAGAAAAAAGAGAATTATCCAAGACAAGAGCAAAGCCAAGCAGATAATTCTTTGGATGGGGGATCAGCTTTCCTGGAGGGAAAGAACTGGCAGGAATTCTCTTTCCATAACATTCTGAGTTCCTGCAAATCCCCCCCCCCTTTCTGCTGAAATGCAAGAAAGTGGGCTGTAAGAAGGAGGAGCTTTCCTTCTGCTGTTGATCTGGAGCCTGAATCAAATCAGATTATTGCTGAATTTCTCATCTCATCATTTCTGGGAGCTCTGTGTCCATCCTTCAAAGCAACTGGAGGAATTTTCTACACACTGGCGAAACAGCAAGACATTGTTGGGGCATTGCCTTGTTCCCACAAATTGTGGGGCAGAGAACCATGCCCTACCCCAAAAACCAAGAAGCAGTTTTGCATGTCTTGAATTAAACCTTCATTGCTCCCAAGGTGGCTGCATTTGAGAGCCACAAAGATTTGCAGGCATGATACCTCCTGGAATAAAACGAACCCTTGGGGAATTGCGTGGAATTCTGAAAGGGAATTTGCTTGAAATACGCAGGAGGAAGAACCACAGGATCGCAAGAAGAACATTGAGTTCCAAAGAGCTATTTTGTCAGAAGACATCTCCCCTTGATGGCTCAATCAAGCCCTGCTGAAGAGGCTTCCCTGGCCTTCTCTTGGCCATCTGCAAGGTGGAATTCCATCCCTGCTGATAGAACCAATCTGTTGGTGAAAACTCAAGGCAGCCTGGTTGAGAAAAAAACACGTACGCAGAGAGAGAAGATATTCATCTTACCTCTCTTTCCTGAAGCTATTGGGGGAAGAGGAGCAGATGAGAGAAGAGGGCCTAGAAAATTAAATCCCAAATAATATTAAAGCTGCTGTCATCAGCCGCCAGAGTTCACGGCAGGATTTTGATAACTTCTTTTGACAGAAGGAAGCTAAACTCCCTGCCTTGGGGGCTCACAATCTGCACAGCCTAAGAAAGCAAGGATGAGCAACACCAGTGAAGCTACCAACCTTTGCTCCCTCCAAGGATTGCAGCCAGAAGATCTGACTTCTTGATCCATGCTGTGCCAGCTGTGGGACTCAGTCTGGGCCAGGTTAGCCGCAAAGGTCAGGGTCAAGGGGATGAGGCAGAGCAGAGGGCTGGAAGATCCCACCAAATGGTAACAGCCCAGAAGAGCCTTCCAACTGAACCAGGAAGCTGTTTCTAGCCCTACCTGGCCAAGTGTTCTGCAACTGCCGCCCACGGGGAAAGGGAGATGCATCTCTGCCCACGTTTAGGGCCCATTGAAAAGGGAATCCTGGCAACTTAAACCAAACACTCCACTTCATTGTAAAGTCCAACTAACAGCTTCTTTGGAACCATCCAGCTGTGTTCTGAGGATGCTCCTGAGAGGCGTGTTGCCCTCCCTATTGGAAGGGGAAAGATGAAGCTTATTCCTACGAGGCAAGAATCCTGCAACGTTAAGATTCAGCGACTGCAGTGCCAACTGGTAGAACTCCAGAGCGTGATGCCAGCAGCCTGGTTGATGTGCTGAACGCTTCATTTACCTCTTTATTTACTCCTGCCAACAACTGACATCGTAATATAATGAGGTGGGCAATGCACCTCTCGGAGGGGGTCAATAATAAGCTGCGTCCCAGCCAGTTCTTGCCTCCGCAGCTTCTTTGAGGGATCGAAAATATTTCACTGTTAATTTAGGTCCCGTCTTCTCTCTTTCACTCCATAAGATAATTGCTTCTCGTCATTTGTACCGGGATCTGCTTTTATAATGAATCACGGCTGAGAGCCCATTATACCATAAATGCACAGCAACAGTCTATGATTTGGAGGATGGCAGGAGGGATAATTAGAGCCTCCAAAACACCCCTGGGATTTCCCCACCATCACCTCTTTCAGCTCAAGGTGAGCAGAGCTTTTCCAAGGCTGCTTCACGAGCCTGACAGGGTCTGCTTTGGGCTGCCCTCATGGATTCCTTGGTGCTCTCTGATCTTGGCTGTTTTCTTGCAGATGTTCATTCTAGCATTGATGATGTTCCCTACATGGGTCATGAAATGTCCACAAGAAAACAATCAAACTCAGAGAGCACCAGGGACCCCATAATCTTCCTTCTCCTCCTCCCTAAAAACCCTCTACCCTTCCAGCACTGATGATATTCCCTAGCTGGGTCATGAAACCTCTGCAACAAAACATTTCTCATCATATTATTTTAGTTACTTGTGTACTGCTGCAACTTGCATGGGTTCCTGTTAGTTTGCAACAATAAAACAGGAATTAAAGCTATTTTGCTTTGCCCTCGTAAGCCAGAGGCAGCAAGTGGGATGTGTTGTTCAGCAGCATCAACCATCCTTGAGGATAATTCCACTTCCCGGCAGCTGGTCATCCTCTCAAACCCTCTGTTGCGATCCACAATGAAGTCTCCTTACCTGAAAAATAGCTATCCAAGCATAGCCAATATTATCAAAATTAATAGCTCCATTGTGCGGGTTTAAGTCCCCCGTCCTGCAAGCATTGTAATATTGGTTCCAGTTTATGCAGGCGTTGCGACTGCCCAAGTCTAGTGAGTCCAAATGCGGATTGTAAGCGTCCGCGGTTAAAGTACAGTCCATCTTGTACTCCTTCCGGTTTGGGATGCTGGAGCACTTCTGCATGCCGTTATCCCTGAGGGAGGAACAGATGAACGGGTTCTCCTCCCCCTCTTCCGGCCTGTAGTATTTATGCAGGAAAGTCAGGTTGTGTGTCCTTGAGAAAAAGGAGGAGAAGGGAGGAAAGAAAATAAAGCAAGAGATGGTTAAGACACAGATAAGATTTCAGTGGCTAAAACATGGATCCCTGCCGGATATAAATATGAAATTAAAGTTCAGCCAAGTGGGAAAAATGAAAAAATGTGTGTGGAGGGGAAAGGAGGAGAAACCAGAGCACAGCCAATGCTTATCTGAACCAGGTACAAATCAGTAATGATAATAATAAAAAAAAGTCTGCAAATGGCAGCTTGAATTGGAACAGCTTCCCTCCTGTGATGATACCTTTAACTCCATTGAACAACCACACCTGTCTATCCCAGTTTCCCGGAACGACTCGATAGGTGGACCAAAATGCCAAATCCAGTCTAAACATCTGGCAACTATGCAACCAAGCATGAAAATGGAAAATAGAAAGGGCTGATTGCAAAAGACCAGGTTTTTGTTTAATAAGCCTCCCTTTCTTTGGGGTTGAAGGGCTCACTTAAATCAGAGTAAGAAGATTTCTCACAATGGGACACACTTGGAATACCTATATATATATATATATATATATATATATATATATATATATATATATATATATATATATATATATATATATGCATGACTTTGCTCTTTTTCCAGACTACTCACTACAAATATATGCATTGAGGATTCTTTGGTGGCCCAGTTCTCTATAAGCCATTGCAGTATTACTTGAGTTGGAAAGCTGAGCACTGTAGCTTTTAAGAGAAAACAAGAAAATAGGTTTTCAGCCTGGCTGAATTCATGGAAGCCGCCCTCTTTAATCTTGTAGAAAGAATAGACAAGGTAGAGAAGTTTATTGTGGGGTCCTTGATGCTCTCTGGGGTTGGTGGTTTTCTTGCAGACATTTCATGACCCAACTCTCCACAAACCCTACTCCCTTCTAGCATCGTTGATGTTACCTAGCTGGGTCATGAAACATCTGCAATGAAACAGCCAAGCTCAGAGAGCACCAAGGACCCCAGTCCTCCTCCTCCACCACCACCTCCTCCTCCTCCTCCCACTCTCTTCTAGCACAGGGCAATGATTAGCCTACGGAATTCACAGTCACAAGAAAGGACAGCCCAAGTGTGAGAGGCTGCCCAAGTGCTGAAATCAAGAGTTTGGCCAACCCAATCTCCATGAGACCTGGACCTTTCCTTCTGGCCTTTTCATCGTCATGTTCAACTCTCTTGGATATCCTTGAACCCTCCTGTAAGTTCTTCTTTTCTGAGCTGTATATTTTTAATAAAATCTTTCCCTTGGCACATCTATTAAGGAAAGGACACCCACCCCCCAAAGCCACTTCCAGCTCTTTGGGTTGCCAAAAGAGCAGGGAAAGAGAAATTAACCGGTGCTGAAGGCTTATCTCAAATCTTTTTTTAATTGCGCTAGAATTGGGTTGGCTGCAAGGCAGAGATAGTGGCAGGTTTTAATTGCTAAGGAGTGGGTGACTTGTTTTCTAACCTTTCCTTTGTTTTGACCAGACCTGGCTTTTAAACTTCAGAAATGTGCACAATTTTTGGGCCACTGGCTGCCCAGTCCTGTGGGGAGGGACCCCTTTTCCTTTGTAGACCCCTCCGATTATTGCGTTTTCTTTCCAAAGGTCATTCCTCTTCTGTTTTGTGGTGCAATATCTGAAAAGATTTATTGATTCCTGGGGCCCTCTCATAAATCTCCCCCACCTCCCAGGCCCCTTCTAACCCTATTAGTCTACGTTCTGCCTCAGGCTTCAGGGGCAAAACCTACATTAGGGATTTGATGCAGTGCTGAAGGATGCAATAAAATCAGAGTAAACCAGGGTAAAATCAACAGAAATCACTCCAAATCCAGAACTGCTTAGGATCCTGGTTTCCAGGTCTGGCTCAAGGCAATTGGAGTAATTTGTATCCCCATTTCTAGCCTTCAGACACAGTTGATGCTTGTAATAACAGAATAACAGACTTGGTCATCTAGTCCGATTCCCTCTCAAGCAGGAGACCCTAAACCTTTTCAGACCAATGACTATCCAATCTCTTCTGAAAAAAATTCAGTGATGGAGCACCCACAACATCTGGATGCAATAAATAATACTAACATTGATGGCAAAGTTGGATAGATTGCCTACTTCCATAGATTTAAGGTAGTTTAACCCCCTCTTTTGGGGGGTGGGTGTACATGTGCACATGTATATATATATGTTTGTGCATTGCCTTCCACATTCTTTCCCTGCTACCTCTTTTAGTTGTTTAACTAACTCGAGATGGGTGGCATATAAATGTAATAAATAAATAAAATGGCAAGAGGGATAAAGTTAAAGAAGTCCCACTATTTGGCTGCTTCAACTGATTCCCTGAACCCTCAACAGCTCTGATCCCAGATCCAACAGCAGGAACTCTAGTTCTGATCAACAGTAGTTGGCAACTTGAATGGTGTTTGTCCTAACAGTGAGAACAATGGAATAGCTTTGCCTTCAGAAGTTGTGGGTGCTTCATCACTGGAGGTTGTTAGGAAGAGACTGGACAGCCATTTATCTGAAATGATGTAGGGTCTTCTGCTTGGATTGGACTAGAAGACCTCCAAGGTCCCTTCCAGCTCTATTCTGATTAATTGAAGTGAATCTGCATCACTCTCAGGAGTAATTAACAGTGCTGGAAAATGTCATTCGCACTACAGGTCAACAGACAAGGATGTTGGACTCAAAATGGCTCTTATCTTTTCTGGGGGCATCTGTGATGCTGACGTTCTTGGAGAAGAGCAAGGTGCTGCAGCAAGCAGAGGTTTTTGAGGTGTCCCTCACCCCTGCCACCATCTCCATGGCAAGATGAATCGCGTTCTAAGCAGCCCCAACTTATTTTAAAACCACAGGCAGAAAATCCCGGGAGCATGCTCTCTCCTCCTCCTCCTCCTCCTTATCAGCAAAAAGCCAACACTACATTAAAGTAGCTATTTGCAGTTGCTTGGTGACCGGCAGAATCAGCTGCCTGCGTCTAGCAACTGTAGGGCTGGTGCAAGAAGAGGGAGGGAGAAGGATGACTTTGGAAAACTTACCTTTGAATGTGGGAATCTAGGAAACACCTGTTCCTCAGCAGCCCAGCCCAGAGCTGGACACCCACGATGCCGAAGATGAAAAAGACAAAAAAACACAAGAGGAGAACGTTGCCTAACATAGGCAGAGTGTCTAGGAGCAGGGTGACAAGAATGCGCATACCTGTGGAGACAGCAGAAAGGGGGTGTCAGAAGGAGGGGCGGCTTTGGCCAAATTGGGACACAGATCCAGCCAGATGAGGCTGCTTCTTCCAGGCAGAACATCTGTAAGAGGCCTTCAGGCAGAGGTCGGTTGGTCTTTGTTCATTCTGGGGGCTGGCTGGGATCTTGGCTAGAGAATACAGACTAGGAATGGAGGGCTAAGGAGAAAACCTCCTTCAGGTCCAGTTAGTGACTCCATGTCCAGATTGCTCTCCTGGCAAGACATGGAAGTGGGTTGTCTTCTTCTGGTTTTTAATCTCTCCACTATAGCTTCCAACTGTGGACATTTTTGATGGACCCCTATCCAAGGAACCCAACTTAGCTTTCTAGCTTTCAGTTAAGGTCAGCGAGTTTTCTTGATCCACTTGCTGGACTCATATTCAGTGTCTGGTAACTTCACAGACCCTTCCCCTGCAGTTTTCTCTACTGATGTGCCACTGACATCTAGGTCTAGCCCACACCCTTTGAATTCCCAGACGGTTTCCTTATCAAATACATAAAATGTTGATGGCCAGCCCATAGCATGGATTCAATAACCCATAGATACGTCTTTAAATTAGTCCGTGCCTGACATCGCCATGCAGTGAGAAATCTTAAGGGTCCATTCTATGAGATACGGAGTGCAACAAAACATATTAAGGCAGCGTTTCTCAACCTTGAGAGCGTGAAGATGTGTGGACTTCATCTCCCAGAATTCCCCAGCCAGCCGGGGAATTCTGTGAGTTGAAGTCCACACATCTTCACGCTCTCAAGGTTGAGAAATGCTGCATTAAGCTATTATCAAAAAGAAAACATATTAAAACTTAAACCAGTGGCCATCAGGAGTGGAACAGCTCAATCCTGAGATCAAATGACCTCAATGCGCACCTGAACTGAAATAATTATTAATCAATACTGTCAGCTTCCCAGCAGATAATGGACTGAGGAGAACCACGGAGACTCTCTCTAGTTCAGTTATTAGTGGAATCGTTCAGCGGCATCTTCCACCCTGTCTTTGGTTAGGGATGGGGGATGGGCAAAGTGTAGACCATCTTCAGCCAGCATAAGACACATACAATTGGTGGGAAGAAGGCAAGGTACCTGCTGCCACAGGCAGAATCCAATTTATATGAAAAAAAGGCTTCAGGAAACTCAGCAAATGTTAAGGCTTTGCTGTGAATTGGGGGATCAAAAAGGATTATGCGGATAACCGATGCTATCTAAGATTCATTATATCCCCACAGTCCGACTGCTGTCGATCTGCTCTGTGGCTGGCTGATCCTTGCAGAGGAGCTAAGTCTCCCATCAAAGGGGATCTGGAAATAACTTCTTACCTGAAAGGAAACTGTTGGGCTGGATTGAACCCTGGATCTTCCTAACCAACTTAGCCCTAAGCTGCATCCTCGAAGACATCTGGAAGGAAGAGACTGCTCTGATATGGAATATTAAGCTGAGCTTCAGGCCTCTACTAAATAATGACGCATACTAAGAATTTACGTAAATATAAGGCCGATAACACTGATGCTAATGTGGATATTAGTACTAATGTTCTCTTCGATTATTAGGATAAGTTTTGCTCTCCCTTTTGCTAACTCAGAGGAAAACGGAACAAAACGAATTATCTGGGCCTTGCAAATAAATGCCCTTAACAAACTCAATTTAAGATGGCAAGGAGGTTGGCTGCTTTTACTGCCCCAGAATAAGATAGTTGCATGCCCCAACTCCAGGACCCATACTGCAAACCCACATTTTATTCCAGTAATCAAAAGTCGCCCACACTCCTTGAACACAATTGTCTCCCAGTAGGGACAGGAGCACAATAAAAGGACTTCTCAAGCCATCTGGTTAGAGTTGGGCATCTTCCACCTTGGGACCCATAGATGGACTCTCTGAATGATCTCAGAGTGGGAGAAAGAGATGGAACAAAGACTACTGAGTCACAGGAAGCAATTTTTAGATTGGAAGAAGGAGCAATGCCGTTCAAACGTATTTCAGCTTTATAGCTGCAATAATCAATATCTGAAAATGTACTGAGATTCAGAAGTTTCTAAAGGTTCCTCAGAAGCTGCTCCAAGATCCCCCCAGGACTCAGACGTTGCATCCTCCTCAAGGTGACCTTCTAGGTTTGGGAAGAGGCGTTTGTGATCCACCTTCGGTGAGGTGGCTTGTTCCTGACTTCTAAATCGCTCCAGCCCAAAATCTACCCTGCCTAAAAAAGAATCTCTGAGCCGCCAGCCGAGGGCCAACAGCCGGGGACTAAAGAAGGGTGCCTTTCCCAAAAGAGGTCCCCCCCCCCCAAAGTGAGCTGTGAGAGACCTCTCCCTGCCTTTGGGTGACACCATTGGAAGCACAGGTGATCCTCCTGACCATAACTGGAAACAAAATTTCCATTGCTAATGAGTTGCACCCAATTTTAAGACATTTTCTACTAAGTAAATCACTCTGGTTGTTAAGTGAATCACATAGTCATTAAGCAAAGCCAGCATCACCAATTGACTTTGCTTGTTGGAAGCAGGCTGGGAAGGTAACCAATGGCAATCAGGCAACCCCGGGGTGTAAACTGCTGCCCATTGCAAGGGCCTGAATTTAGATCACCCTCCCTCGCCAGGCCCGAGTTGAGGAACCTCTGCAAGCAGCTCAGAAGCCCCAAGAAGTGCAGGAGGCAGACATTCTCCCACAACCTCTCAAGGCCAGGATTTCTCCCTCCCTCTCCCTCTCCTTCCTGCTTCTTAGCTTCTCAGCTTCTCATCAGTAGTTCAGTTCCAACAGCCTCTCTTCCACCCGGGAGAATTTTATCTAAATGTTCTTTTCCTTTGCAAGAAATGCCAGACTCCCAGCGGCCTTCATCAAGAGGACTTAGAACTGGCAGGAAGGGGGTGCAGGAAAACTGCCTGGACTGGCACGTCTCACCTCGCCAAGGCAGCCGGGAGAGATGGCGATCCCCAAGAACCAGACTTTTCAAACAATGCAAGAGAACACTGACGCTGCTTTCCTGGCAAGTATCTAGCCTGTTTTTCTTCTGTTACATCAGCTCTCCGGGAAATAGGATTTCTGATGAAAAGCAATCAAGGAGCTGGTGTATTAGCATATCAGCTAAGAATCACTCAAAGCCAAGTGGGCACAACCAGGAAATGAATTTGACGGGTTGGCTTAGCTTCCAAATTGGATTGAAGGGAAAAACAGCTGGAAGGGGCTTAACGCTCACTTGAACCTCTCCAAGCAGACAAACTGGGATTGGTTTGGCCTCGGAGCTGCAGGGCTGCTGAACGCATCTTTGCAGAGCCGGAAAGAGAGGTGGCAATCTTCTTGGGAAATAAGGAAGGGGGACCCCTTTAGGGAGATCCTGAATGACTTTGTAAGCAGGCATTCCACATGAAAGCAAATTGAGGACTGAAGAGCCGTTTGAGCAGAAGCCAGTGGGTTACAGATAATGCAGAACGAGAGATCTAGAGATCTAGAAAACTTAGAGAGCACCTTCCAATATCTGAGGGGCTGCCCCAAAGAAGAGGGAGTCAAGCTATTCTCCAAAGCGCCTGAAGGCAGGACAAGAAGCAAGGGATGGAAACTAATCAAGAAGAGAAGCAACCTAGAACTAAGGAGAAACTTCCTGACAGTGAGAACAATTAACCAGTAGGACAGCTTGTCTCCAGAAGTTGTGGGTGCTCCAACACTGGAGGTTTTAAAGACGAGATTGGACAGCCATTTGTCTGAAATGGTATAGGGTTTCCTGCCAGAGCAGGGGGTTGGACTAGAAGACCTCTAAGGTCCCTTTCAACTCTGTTATGCTGGAGCTCTCCTGCATCTTCAGGGAGGGACCAGGAGAACCATGATCATCGGAGAGGGGGAGGACTAAAAGTCTTCTCCACCAGCTGCTTCTCTCCATTACTCAGGAGCCAACTTCTAGCAATGGCAAATTGGGGTTTTCCTGGCCTTTTCTGCTGAGCAGCCCCCCCCTCAGTAGCCTCCTTTGCCCTGCAGTCAGCCAGTGTAGTCCATCAGGGGCCAGGTGTGGTCCTCCTCCGTTCCTGCTGTCCAGTAGTGTGGGTTTTAGTGCAGGGATGCAGCAGTCATTGACTTGGCAAGTCAATCAATTTCGTCTTTGGAATGGGGGCCGCCTAGCTTAGTCTGGAAATGCCTTGGGCAGCCCAGGGTTTGCCCTTCCTGGGGGTTGGGAGATGTCAGGGATGCCAGCTGCCGAGCAGCCCAGCTGGGGAGAGTCAGAATGGATGGCCCCTCCAGGCCAAGTAGGCTGCATTCATCTTGTCTCTTTGACATTAATAGTTTTATTAGCTTTTCCAGAGTAATCCATAAAGACAGAAACAAACATGAAGATGGAAATAAAATCACTGGTCTTCAAGGTCAATGAATGAGACAGGAAGGAAGGAAGGAAGGAAGGAAGGAAGGAAGGAAGGAAGGAAGGAAGGAAGGAAGGAAGGAAGGAAGGAAGGAAGGAAGGAAGGAAGGAAAGCAACGGAGATGGCCAAGGATTATGCAGTCTATAGCCCCAAACATCTGGGAGATACCAGGTAACTATAAAGGGTGAAGAGCCTTTATATTAAATGTCCAGATTAGAGGCCCCCGAGTGAACCATGGGGCTAATGTGAAACTGCTCCTTCAGCTTTTCCACAGAGAGCACTTGAGTTGCCTTGAGGCTTTCTTTGGTGGTGGGGGCGGAGTGTGTGTTTATGAATGAAATGAAAGCCTTCAAATCAATATATTCTTTCTCCCAGACTGTTGGTTAACCCCCATATTGGAGCTAAGACAGGCCTTTTGGAGGCTCACTTGGTCAGGATTTCACGGGACTGTTGCAAAATGAAGCTCTGCCAGTCAGCCCACCTATGCCCAAGAAACGGGCTGCAGGATCCAACTCTCCCCATGCCCCCCCCCCAAGAAGTCCACCCACCAAAAAGGGCAAAAGAGCTTCGACTTACTTGGCACCCTGTTAATGGCTCGTAACGGCCTGAGAACCCGCACAGTCCGGATGGCTGAAAGGCTGACATTATGTCCATCCAGAGAATATTCCATCATGCTGGGAGAGAGAGAAAGAAGGAACGAAACACAGGAGGTGAGAAAGAGGAGAGGGTTGGCCCCTCTGTTTGAAAAGCACAGGCTGAGGCAGTCAAGCCTTAACCAGGTTCCTTATGCCTGCAATATTTTGTGTCAACCTTTGGAAATGTAAAAACAGGTTACTTCATTGGACAGATCTCGCTTTCTTTCAGAAAAAAATGTCTTAGGAACACCAAGAGGAAGCTGCAACCATCCCTCCCACTCCTGATCCCAGCACACACTGATCAGAGCACGTCAATCAAGCGAGGAGTGTTTTTCATACTACTGATGGTGTTACTTAGTTGAGCAATGAAATGTCTGCAAGAAAACAACCCAGGTCAGAGAACATCAAGGATTACACAGTCCCCACCCCCTCCTCCTCCTCTACAGACACCCCACTCCCTTCTAGCACTGATGATGTTACCTAGCTGGGTCGTGAAAGGTCTCAAAGAAAACAACCCAGATCAGGGACCACCCGGGACCCCATAAGAAGTGTTTTGTCTACTGACCCAGCAATGACAATGAAGAAGTCGAGGCGGTTCCAGGTGTCTCCTAGGTAACATTTGTGGCCAAAGATCCCCAGGGCGACCATCTTGATAACCATCTCCACAGCAAAGAAGGCGAAGATGAAGTGATCAAATGCCTGGATTTAAAACAGGGAGGCCACACAGGAGAGAGAATGAGGATCGTTAGTTCCACCTGAGGCTGACCTGGTCCGGATGCTGCACTTTGACTGAACTGTCTGCCTGGCCTAATCCTGAGCCTCCATTTTGCCCTTTTACCTTGAAGAACTCTTCCCAGGGCATGTCCTACCTGTAGACTTCTCAAGTCTCAGGAGAAATTGGCATTAGTGGCTGAAGACCAACCCATAAGCTTCAAGAGGTCCAAGTCCACACGAACAAAGTGATGGGTCTCTCTTACCTCCAAGATTGTGCACCTTTCTGTCTGGCACTTGATGTCCTGACATGGCTGGAACATCCCGAGGGTGACGCAGTTCAAGAGGATGACCAGCATGCTGACGTGCTCGAACCAAGTGGGAAGGCAGAGTTAAGGAGAACCTGAGACGGTGCTGCTTCTGGGAGACACAACCGACCTCCTGGGCCTTAGAAACCCCCCTGGCAATCAAGACCCTGGAATCTGAATGATTTATTTAGAAAGCTGCCATGTCTCTTTTGATATCTTCAGCCAACTTACAAGGATAAGTATAAACACATCCATAAAAAAACAGCTTGGAAAGTATACTAGAGATAAAACTAAGACTTCTTTTCTTTTCCTGCCCAGACATTGAGGGGAAAAGAACAGACATGCAATTTATATTGATGAATAATGTCTGTAGTCCAAGAACTGAGAAATAAAATAAAGGGATAGAAAAGGATAATGGAGAGATTTTATATCATTTAGAATATTTTTTTTCCTCTCTAGGTTGGCTTCAGTTTAGAAAATACACACTCAGCAATAAAAGCATAAACAGGAGCATTAAAGAAACCAAAATGATCACAAGAGAAAGCATGAAAATAGTCGTTAAAAAAATCAGTGCTAGAAAACAAAGCCCAGCCATCTAAAGCACGTTCAGAAGCGACCTCTGGCCGCAGCTGTCCTGCCACTTCTGAATCTGTTGCACTTCAACACGTTTGCTGGTTGGGTATGATGGGAGTTGCCGCACCAGACATCCAGAGAGTATCAGGCTTAGGAAAACTAACTTAACCTTCATCACCAGCCCATCACAAGGGTGAGGTTGCCCACCTCCTTACAGAGGACAGGTGGGAAAACATTGCTTGCTTAACCCAGAGGTCCTTTTCCAAAAGACAACTGGACTTCCTTGTTTTTTTCCCCTTGAAGGCTTTTTGCTTCTCATCCAAGAGGCTTCTTCAGTTCTTCTTGGATGAGAAGCGAAATATTTTCAAGGAAAAAAACCAAGGAAGTCCTGTTACCTTTGGGACAACCATGACCTGGATGACCCAGAACCTCCACAGTCGTTGCATGCTTAAGTTCTCAAAACACCTGTAGAGGTCAACGGGTTTCTTCCAAAATGATGCAGTTGCAAAAATGACAGCACGCAAGACAAATAGGGTTGAGGGGCTTGGGGCAACATCCCCAAGACCACATTTGGAGTAGCGCAACCAGCTTTGGTCACCACCATGTAGAAAAGATGCTGAGACTCTGGAAAGAGTACAGAGAAGAGCAAGAAAGATGATTATTCTGTATCTAAGAGAACTTGGGGTGGAGGCAGTTTCTGAAAGGATTGAGATGCACCTGCAGGAAGGAAGGTTGGGATGCAGCTGGAGGGAAGATTTTCCAAAGGGACTTAAAGGGAAGGAGGGGGTGGGATGTAAGTGCCCCCACCTCAATTCACACTGGTTCATTTGCAAATGGAGGAAGGGGAAGGGTTTGCACTGGAAGTTGAAGCCCTTTTGTGAACACTCCACTTTCCCATTATTCAAATCACCCAACTACAAAAAAGCGGGCTATTTGCTAAGTGCTGGAAACTGCAGGGAAGAAAATGAGGAAAAATGACATAAAGCGGAATTCCCATCAGGCAAGCTGCATTTAATTATGCAACAGTGCTGGTTAAGGAACCCTTTAAAAAAAAGAAAAAGCAGAAATTGGATGAATTAAAAGTCATTTTAGTAGCGAGGGACATACACACATACATGCCCGGCAAAAATGAAACAAAAATGAAAAGCAGCTCCCGGAGTGTGTTTGGATAAAAGCTGCAATGTTTTGAGCATGGCCTCCGGGGGGGGAAAATGTTTTTTCAAGGGGAGAAATCTTGCAAAAACACACCCTTTTGCCCTTTCAAAGCCGACTTTTTGAGGAGCTTCTTTGTCTTTCACTTAAATCCCAATCTTCTCCACATCAGGGGAGCCATAATAAGAATCAAAAGCACCAACAAATCTGAGGCATGAAAAGAAGCAAGCAGGCTGAATATAGAGATTTTTTTTCAGCTCTAAATCTGCTCAGGTAAAGAAATACGTTTTAGCTTGATGTCAAAATGAAAGTAACACCAGCCTCTGTGGCAGATGTGTTTTTCTGAAGGACTCTACATGGGGGGGGGAATATGTTTCTGTCACAAAAAGACAACCCCATCCTCCCCAAAAAGAACCTGCTTTGAAGATCTGAAGCAGATCCACGTGTACCCTTTGCTCACCCTGGATCAAGAGAGGCCAACATCTACACTTCAGTAGGAAGTGAGCATGTCCCAAAGGTGTTTGCTTAAGAAGCAACTGGACTTTATTTTTCCTTGAAGACTTTCGCTTCTCATCCAAGAAGCTTCTTCCATTCTGACCGAATGATGGAGAACTCCACTAGAACTGAAGAACTAAGGAAGCTTCTTGGACAAGAAGCAAAATGTCTTCAAGCAAAGCAGCATCATGAACAAGTGGTTGTCTAAGAGGACTTCCCATCCCCTCTTCTGCCTAGGGAGCCCCTCATTCACATAAATATCTCAATAGTGAATAGGCTGTACATGGTTGACTCCTTTGCACCTTGACTCACTTTCCAACTGAATGTGCAACAAAACATGATCTCAAGAAGCGTTGGAGGCATAGCCCCTTCTCTCCCTGTCTCTCCCCCACCCCCACCCCATCTGCCACCAAGCTGCAGAACTCAATCTTGAGAAAGGCAAAAGGGTTGGAGACCAAAGTTCACAGAACTGGGCAAAAAATATTTTCGCATCAGGAATAGTTTTAGCCTATAAAGTGGTCCTGCCCATCCATGTATGGTTTGGCTAGGCTTAGTGCATTTTGCAAACCTAGTTACTTATGGCTTAGTCAATAAAACATGATGAAGCAGATCATAGCTTAGCAGAAGGTATGAATCCAGTCCCTTCTGGAAAATAGCTGCTATGGGTATCATTGTTTCCCAGCTAAAGTATTTCTAATCTGGCAAGGGGAAATATTTTACATGGCAAACAAATGATAAATCTGTACTTTTGCTTGCTTACATGATAGAAATAAAGAGAAAGTGTGTTGCGATTGGAGAGGCTGGGAAGGTGAGCTTTTTTCTAACAAAAAAGGCCGATCTGATTTATAATCACATTATTGCTGCCTGCTAAAGGAAGAGTAAAATGGAGGAAGGATGCCAGCCCAGAAATCCTGCACTCTGCAAATGTTTATATACTGGAGGCTGGTAGCAGATAATCCTGCAGGAGAATTTGTGTCACATTTCTAACTGCATAAACAAGCCATCTTTTGTTCTCCAATAGACTCCGGCGGATTTACTGCTGTGCACACCCATCCGACATCTCTCTCACAGTGCCACCTACAACTGGCGTGCCACCAAGAGGTCACTCAGGAGTAATTAAATGGGGGGGGTGAGGGCAGAAAGGTGGCTTGTCAAGAATTATGCTTTATGTCTTGGTTTAGCTTAGCCCTGCAAGAGCTGGAGAAGCAGTGGAGCAAAGATTGACTCCCCAGTGCTACAGGCATTTCTTTCATTGCAAAAGGAGAAGGATCTCTGGCTTCAAAAAAAGATGCAGAAATGTTAAGTCTTGAATAGTTTGCTGTTTGCTCAACTGGGGACCTACTTGGTTCAGCATCTCCTTAACTGCATGACATGGGGGAGGGGAGGGGGCAGATCTTCTTCCTCAGCTCCCCAAAGTGGGCTTCTCATTTTCTGGATTTGCAAACGATGCTTAATGCAGTATGAAATGTGGCAATCTGCCACAAGGCCTTTAAACTGCAACTAGCTTTAAATTCCAAGTTACTGTTCGCAGCAACCTGATGGGACTGAGTTAACTTTGTGTACTGTTTTAATTCTGCAATTACCTTGGTGGGGCATGCAAATACGGGAAGGATACTGCAAGATCCTTCCCAGTCCATGGGAAATGTTTGGCTAATAGGACCTTTGAACATCAGTTTTGGTCTTCCAGCTCCAGTTTTGTCTGGACGCTTAGGGGTAGGGTTGCCCATTACTGGATCTGGCACAGCCCCTATCAGGAGACCTGCTCCAGACCTTCAGAATTCATTCAGGATTCTTTCTCTCCTCATCTTCCCCTTTTTGATTCTCCTCTGTTGTGGCGTCTCAGTTCCTCAGCACAAATGCAGAGTTTGGAAAGCATTATAGAGCCGGCAGCTCATTCAAACAGGCCTCGGATCCTTTCTTTGATCAGAGCAGGCAATCGTCCCCCCTCCAGGTAACAATGTTAAAGGAGTGCCAATCCGAGGGAATGTGGTCCTATTTCATAAAGCACCAACAGGTGCAAATGTGGGCTGATTCGTCCAGAAACCAAGGGATCCCTCAAGCGGGTTATAAGAAATTCAAGATAGACTTTGGCAAGGCTAGAATGCCGGAGATTTGGGGATAGGGCAGCTTAGAAGGACTAGGGGTGACATGATAGTAGTCTTCCAGTATTTGAGAGGCTGCCACAAAGAAGAGGGGGTCAACCTGTTCTCCAAAGCACCTGAGGGCAGGACAGGAAGCAATGGATGGAAACTAATCAAGGAGAGAAACAACCTGGAACTAAGGAGACATTTCCTGACAGTTAGAACAATTAATCAGTGGGATAACTTGCCTTCAAAAGTTGTGGGTGCTCCATCACTGGGTTTTTTTTAAGAAGAGACTGGATAGTCATTTGTATGAAATGGTAAAGGGGGTTGGACTAGAAGATCTCCAAGGTCCCTTTCAGCTCTATTCTGATTGTTAGCTTTTCAAAGGCACAGATGTTTCCTCCTTCCCTATCAGGCACTAATCAAAGTTAGTAACTTTATTGCTTATTACCTATATTACAAGAATCTCCTGAGACTGCTTGCCTTCCCCTGGGAACAAGCAGATAAGGCTTCATGGGTCTTGGGGGAGGTCAACCTTATGCCTCTCCTGGCTGTGCAAGGACTCCAAGCTAGGCCCCCGCTTGACTCCTCCCTCCCTCCAGCCTGGCTGGCTGGCAGTTTCTTAACATCCCCTGCATTGCTCCCCCCACCTCTTCCCCCCTCTTTACTGCCCAAGGAACCCGCTTGTTGCTATTTGAGGAGAGGAACATGACTCAGCACCTGTCGGAAGGAAAGGATCAGATGCCTCTGGAATGTAAGAAAGCTT